TATTTGGAACAGTGAGCTCTTTTTGCAGTAGCACGAATGTTGGATGAACGTTCTCTCGGGTGGAATCTTCGAATCGATTACCAATTTACCGCACTAAACGACATTTTAGAAACGTGTGCATCGTAAAGAGCTAGGTCATTGGTTGGGGACTGATAATGTAGCGTTCATCTTAACTCTATTTGAGCTAGCAGTTGTTTATTGTTTAGATTCTTGACCGGCCATTACTACCAGCCACGCTCTGTCCAGGGGCGTTCGCGTTTTTCATGCGAGTGTCAACGCTTCCCTGCTTGCCACCTCCCTAACGGCCTGGCGCGATCGCTATATCTATCGTCAAAGTGTGTATCCGATATCCTCCATTTGTAAAGTTTTTACAAATCTGGCCAGTTTATATACATACATGTGTACACATACATGTTAGAGAACAACTTCTATTTCGAACACAAGTTATTTGAACGGGAACAACAATTTAATATGGTCAGCAGGAAACATTTCTACAAACCTAGTTGCTTTTGAGGCAAGAGTACTACATTGATAAAGAACAATACGTTGCTACACCTAACCATTTTCAGCAAATACCGTGGGGTCGTACCTTCCTTATGTAGAGGGCAGAGGGATCGTTATACTGTACGTAGACATACCGTTTACATAAATAATTATTGTAGTTTTGTTCACTGCAAGTATGCAAGGGTGCATGTGAATCTGCATTTCCCCATTGGAGCAGGTCCCATATTCCCTACTATCACATATTTATATGCATATTACGCTGGAATACCCATCGACAAGAAGTAGGTGAGCCTTCCCCCGCTTGTCCTTAACAAAGGTACGAAGGAACAACCTGGTCGTGAGGCGATGTCAGACAGGATACTGACTGCAAGCCCTGTACCTACATGAATACAATCGGTGCATGACTATGCCTTCAAACAGTAATTGCGCTAATGTGTTGAGTGCGTAGAAGGTATAAGTGATGAACAGGTACAAGAATCAACGAACCAAAGAACAAAAGTATAGTATTTACCCTATAAGGGAATAATGAAGTTTTGTTATGGAGCATAAAATTCATCTGCGAAACTTAATTTTGACAACCTTGCATGCTGTACGAAAACGACACTGCAGGTTGCGATATGTTGTTAAATACTATCTTCTTTCGTTCTTGATAAATCAACCCTATCACAAGGTAGATTTGTTTAGCAATGCATCATATTTATGTCTATGAATTTATGAGTGACTGTGTAAGAGTTTTTCCTTAACAGCCTTCGCCCTAGCATCGTTTGCTCGATGGCTTTAGTCCGTGGCGTTCAACCAGGTGGTCACGACCCATTTTTACTTCAAACAGGCAAAAAATACAGACTCAACTTTTTGAAACCTTCATCGTCACGATCCATATGCTTGAAGCCACAACTGTTGAGGTTCGTCTGTCCCAGCGCTGCTGCATAGCACCCGTTTCTCTCGTCTATCTCGCTCTAGTTATAGCTTTGAGCAAACCCCGTTTTCGGCCCTTCCATAAAACTCGCGCGCGGGTGTTCCATCGAATAGAAAGCGAGCGCCAGTCTATTTTTGCCAAAAAGGCGACGACAATTTAGAGGATTCGGTTGAAACTCATGTTTGCCTCTGCAGACAAAGCTCCGCAAAAACAGCCAAAACAGCCTCTGCGTATGTGACGAGGATAACGCCGTTTCTCTCAAAGACTAGCAATCACTATAGCTTGTATTGTTTCGTAGCGATCTCTTTCACAGTAGCTGGTACAGCGAACGGATCGAATTGCATCTGCCTAGTAACTTTTTATTTAAAATTGTTGGATGTCCTTAACTCACATATACGATGGAGAGAGGGGTGAAGTTACACAGGCTGTGCTCTACATAGTACCATAGTTGCTTTTACTGTTGGACACTAAAAGTTAGAATCTTTGAGTAGAATAGATAGTAAGAGGATTTTAACTGAAAATTTCAAAGAAAGTTCATGTTTATACTGAAAATAATTTTATAGCTAAAACAGTTTGGGTATTGGTTCCAAACGTGCCGATTCTCTTGACTAAAAATTCATTTATTCTGAACCAGCCGCGACTTTACATTCTTTTCTATAATGAGGCTACTTTTGCCTCGGATTCATAGAGAGTAAGGTCATAGTATGGAGTACATATGAGTGTTTACCCTATTAAATCTACTATAGGCAACTATTATGTTCTGGCAAGATGAGCCATCGCTAAAGCCACGTGCTAATTACGTATTGTTCCCGTAACAGCTGGCTTTTTAATGTCCGTGCCATGCTCAGTATCTGACATCCACTTGATTTCTGAGCGCCGGCAGGATGTTGACCTGTGCTGTCTCTAAACTGTCGAGCCGTATAGCGCCCCCTGAACTGTTTCGACCTTCGGACCACTACAAAGGCACGCGTCCCACAAAGCTTCCCTTCTTGCGCCGGTAAAAATACACGCTTTTGTTATTAAGTGACCTTGTTACCCGTATGTAGCCTTCTCTATTTATACCTCCCGAGCCTATAGGTTTATGCATGTCCTTGGCTATTCGCGTCTGTGGCCTATGTTAACGGCCTTAACCTCGCCAGCAGCCGCGAAGGCGGATAGCTAGATGGGGATACGAGAGCTAGATGCACGCGCCATTCGAATATTTGCTACTCTACCTCCTCTTCTACGCGCATTCCTATGAACCTCGAGAATGGCACCGCTGTTGAGTGTTCAGGAATCCCCGGGGCTCTACCTCCACCGAATAAGATGTTGATGACCTTCCTCCCACTAGAGACAGACACTGAAAGTGACAACCCCCCAGGACTAGCAGCCTCTCCTGCCTTTGATTCGCTCTCTCGAATCTCACCTTGCTGAAGCCTATTCAAGGCATTTTTGTCCCTTATCGCTATTATAGTACAAAACTGATATCAGTGCGTCTCATATATGCATACATACACAGCGCGTATTCTATGAGATACATAAATGGAAAGAATAAATCAATTATTTCATTTATCTTTTTAATGATATAGACATTTTGTGTCTTAGGCTCTCTTTTATTAGTTGATTAGCTAGCTCCATGCCAATATAGAAATTCGTTGATTGCGACTAGCTGTGCTTCTACCTGAACGCGACCAATGCTGCTTGCCATTTATTAAGAACGATACCAACAGAACACTTTTGTTGTGTGTGTGTTTAATGCTCAATATGTAGGTCTGCTACATCGTCACTCATCTAGTCAAGTTTGAAATCCTCCCCCATTTCTGAATCGACTGCACCACCGGAAAAAGGATGCGATCCTCCCCCATTGTGGTCGTCGCGGGCGCCCACGGACTCAACTAAAATACCGGTTGGAGTTGTCCGATGCTGATATTGGTGCCGTTCACGGGCTCTGAAGGTTGCCACTATATGTTGATTTAAGCAGCCAAACTGTGAGGTGCTACCTTCGTTGTACGAACTAGCGACACACTCTCGCCGGCGGCAAGCTTATAGCAAAATAGCGGTACCTCCACATCCTATATAGCTGCCATCCTGTCATTCGACCATATCCAGATCGCGAGCAGACGCTAAAGAGAGCAAGATCGTCGAGCACCGCCGCGCTACCCACCACTGTTACCGCTCAGACCAATGCAGGAAGCTCTTCAAGCCTTAGAGAATCTTAAACAGCAGAGATCCCTTACCCGCTTTGGAGGCCGGCCATCTCAGGCCCTCACCCACCTCCATTCCCCTCTCCGCTCCAGGCAGTCTCGAAAACTCGTAGAACTCGTGTCCGTCATCAACATCGTCGCCTAACTGTACTTGATGCCTCACTCGCTCATTCGAAGTTCCAACAGTTGACCAATCGATGTAGATTAAGTCGAATTACTTCAGAGTCCAATCGGGAGAGTCGGGCTCACGCGTAGATTTCCCTGACAGATTGTCTCCAGAGGTATCTATGTATCTCTCGGACTAGCAATAGTTGTTGTTGGAGGACGGTAGCGGATGGATCGTCGTTGGACCAAGCGGATGACACTGAGCAAGCGACATGCACGCCGACGTCAAAACTCTGTAAAAGCGACGAAAAAAAGTTGTGACGTGTTAGAAAAAGAGAGAGGGGAGAACTCACTCTACTACTGCCACCTACCGCGAGGACCTGGACTTACCACGGCGCACGCAAATAAGCAGCTAAGAAGACACTCCCACATAGAAAAAGTTCTTTCATTTCTTCGCAGCTCCGCTTCATAGTGATACGAAGCTGAAGTGAGCTCTATTGACAAGAGTGGCACACATCATTGGTACGTAAGTAACATCGCGATCAGGCACAAACTTCATCCCCGCCATTCTCTTTGTGTGAGTTCCCCCGGTCTGCCGCTACTATTGCTGCTTCGCGACGACTAAAAAGCAATTGGACACCAACCACGGTGATAAAGAAGCACAGCAAACGATATAGGACGACGCAATTAGGGTGGGTCACGGCACAAAGTCAAGTGGAGCGCATTTCGTGACATCCTCAGAACCATGCGCCGGGTCCGCGGCCGCTGGATTGCTTCTGTTGGCTTGGCCATCTTCGTAGTATCAAGCGTGGAGGTCTCTAGTAGCATTGTAATTGGGTGAAGTTTACTTGATGACTGACATGAACCTCCTTAAACATCCCTAGCCCCTAAAAGTGCAGCAGTTACTATGGTTATTATTACGATTCCGATGACTTTTATTACTGCTGATAACTATTGTGATGACATACTACTAGAGCTATACTCGGCGTACAATGTTGACCGAGCGCCCACAAAGTGACGCCATTCGAAAGCCTGGACTGAGGGTCGATTACAGGATCAGTCGAAGTTGGAAATCGCTGAAGACGGCCGCCGATCAAAAGGTCGAGTGGTTGTGCATACGAGCACGTTTCTAGGAAATCTGAAGTTTTGTCTGACAAGTCGAATAAACTTCTTCGTACCAGTTACGTTTGTTAGTGATCTTTGTCCCTATTGCCACGTTCCAACACTAGCTTTGTCCCACTTACACGCGTGTTCCTTTTATGTCTGTATACAAGTTTTTGTGGCTTAACAAGATGCCTAAAGGTTTCCTACTGCATCGGCCGTCAACTCTCACCATGGGCGCTCCCAACCCCAAGAAGCGCCTCCTTCATTGTGCGTTGATAGAGTTTGCGGAAATGGTTTCGCATGATATGCGGTTTCCCCCTTCGCCGGTGTCGCCCGCTTCAACGGCCGACAGTCCCATCAATCTTACAACAAATATCCCACAAAGTCCGCCCGTACGGACGGTGCCTGAGACGCCTCTAACTCTTGATTACTTGCACGATATGCCAGTTCTTCCAACAAAATACACTACAACGTACGCGTCGCCCGCTACGAAGACGAATTCTACCACAGCTACTGCCGACTATGCTGCAGGAAGACATCATAGCCTGAGCGTGCAGTCGCAGGCGTCAAGTGCAACAGGAAATACACAGCTCGCTGCGGTGGTTCCTGACCATGAGAAGACAACCCCGTCAATTTCACTACCTGTCAATAAGCGATTATGCACGACGAAGTTCACTTGCAAGTTGTGCAGACTCAACTTCAGTGATCCCCTGTCACTTGCGAGGCATGTATGTGCGGCTATTCGGCCAGTCGAGTACAGGTGTCCCGAATGTGACAAGGTCAGTATGCGTTTATATCATAAAATATGATTTATTTTAATATTTTAGAGATTACACCATGGTACGACCGGGTAGAAGACGCCTCTCTGTATGTGTGCGACACAATCGTACAGCAGAACACAAATAATAGTCTAGATATAGAACAGTATAGTACCATTATGTTATCATTGGGGATTTCTATGTTTCGGGTTTTACGTCCGGTATCGCCGTTAGGCATTCCATCAGACGGTTGACTCCCAGTACAAAGCAAAGTTCCTTTCATGTGCCCGGGTTCGAACCTAGACCACAACGTATTCCTAAGGTTAGCAGGCAGATACGTTATCCACTAAGCTGGAATTGGTAACCTGGAATAAGCAATGAAGAATGCAAATTGCGAGAAACTGTCCACGATATTTGGAAAATCATTCTCGCATTTGCATAATAGCTAATTGTATATCATATTTAAAAGCTAGTCAAAGTCGTCGAAACCGCGTGTTCTTTTTGAGCAACGTATCTTGGATTATTTAAATAATGAAACATATTCTCAAGAAGAAATTCAAGAAACTAAGGTTGAGCACTAATTAATTTGATGCAGGTATTTAACAACCCTGCCAACTTAGCGTCGCATAGACGATGGCACAAGCCGTCGGCCTCACAGCAACTGGAATGTCCACTCTGCGCTCAACTGTTCCGACGAAACTCGCTTCTGAAGAAGCACCTTGAGACAGAGCATCCCACGCACCGCCAAGGACAACGACAGGAGCTTCATCGACAGCAACAACAACATCAAAACCACCCACAAATAGTTTCTCAAAAGTATTCGAAGGAAGTCCAGGATGAAACGGCACATCTTCAGTGCCATTTACAATCGACCCCACAGGGTTTTCTCCCTTCAAGCAAACAGTCGCATAATCAAACTGTTTTTCTTGTTGGGGACCAGAGTTCACCTTTGAGTCCTCTACGCTCCCATGCCAACTTGGTAATTCATGGATTGATACACCATCCGGAATCGCCTTTTATGCCGCCTTTACCTGGAATATACTGATTGTGGTAAATTTCAACATAGACCATTAGCAAAAATCTTCCGATACACTCGAGTCAGTCAGTCAGTCAGGCATCGTGCAACATAATGGCATACGTAAAACTGGCTTACTATTTGAGTGTCGCAAAGCTGCTCTGTTACGCAGCTTAAAAGTCATATTACCTACACAGGCTTGACACATCGCTGGCATTCTGAGGACTACGTTGTTCAATACGAACACCCCCTAATTTCGTGTGCCTTCACGTTGACACACAGGAACAAACTGTTATTTAAAATAACAAATATTTATGAGATAAGTGTGTTTCTTAGAGCTAAGCAGTTACTATAGGAAATTAAGTCAATATTAAGTAGTAGCTGGAGCCGGCCTTCATTTAGTTTGCTTTTCAGTGAGGCGAGCAATTTCCATCTATCATACCGGCCTGAATCGGATAAAAATCAGTCCAGAACTCATCCATCAAAAGATGTTCCTGATGTTAATAATAATGTTAAGAGAAAGCTATTCATTGCCATTTTGGCTCCATTTGATTATTAAAGAGTTCATTTTTATAAAGCAATACTATAACCGCATTGTGTTATGCCTAGTCATAAGTTTAGGAAGGCATCTGGGAAGAGTAGTATTCACAGCACGGTCTTTCACATGCATCTAATATCTGTTCGTGGCAAAGTACCCTTCGAGTAGTTGTTGAATAAACCACGACAGAAATTATCCAGCGGCATTGGGTCATAAAAGCCAAAACTTAGTTATTTTATAGTTGAATTTTAAGGTGTTAAAACTGTCTGTGCCCCGACAGATAACTCCACGGAAAAAATATCGTCTATATCGTATTATTCAATGTTTGTTTATATATTTTATTAGCATAAAGATTGACAGATGCGCGTATCCTACTTCGAGTCTCAGATATTTGCAGAATTCTACCTGGTGCTTATCTTCTACAAGGGTTCACCATTGATAGATGTGTTAAAGATCTAGTCAATATGATATGTATCATTTTGAATGTTTTGTAGTCGTATATAAGGGCGAAATTTTGCGGAAAACTAAGCAGTAAAATGTGTAGGAGCAAACCTATATCTTGGATAGACTAATTAGTAAATTAATCAAATATATCTAACTCTATTAAAAAATAGGTCTAACTTGATTAACCTTGTGTGGTCTTGAGTTTACTTATATGACGAATAATTAAAATGCTTTTGCCTATAAGCATTTTAATTGCAGTCAATAAGTTTAATAAGAACACATTTTGCCCATTTTATCCCTCCTATTAATCTATAAGATCTTAACCCAACGTCTCCACACGAAGTCGCGAATCCGCATAAGCGTTTTTGTGCAGATTTATCGAGGTACTCATGAGGCTCACTAACGGGAGGAAACTGTAGCTTAATGTGCAACAAAGGCGAACGAATTCCTAAATTAGGCCAAACCAAACCGTAGTCAATCAGCTTGCACCTACCCCTGATAGATATCACAGACACGTTCAGTAGCTGGTCGGTGAAATGCACTGATTATTTACCCTTTTCTAATGTAAATATAAAAAAATGTATTATGGAGTTGAAAAATGCCGAAATAATGACTCGTGAGTTTTATAGGTATTTGGCAGCTTCAAGATGTCACCTGTATGTCAGTGTTCAAAATTCTTTTTATAGCTTATTTAGCAATTTAGTGTACTCTGATGACGTACCGTAGACGTACTTTTTCGCTGTGTGTACAAAGAGCATTTAGTGTCTCTGGTAAAATTTTCGATTAAAACATAAGGCAAAAAGTGGTCGATTACTCCAACGATTGTTGGCTCGATGGCTTGTTGAACATATTTTGCATTTTCAGAAATCTAAAAATGCATTGGTATGAGATCAAAATGACGGCAGCTGTACAATACCGATCGAAATGGAGTATATTATATAAACACAGATGAACATTAGGTCATCGCTGTTTTGTAGGTCGGCAACGTGGTTAGCACATTACTTTTGAGTATGTATGACACCCTTCGATAATATTATTATATGCCTTATCAGTGAGTCATGTAGAGACGTTGCTCCTTATGAATGGAAAATTCAAAACTATGAAACCGTTGACGTTCATAATGTCATAGGCTACGAATGTAATTACCTTGTCAGTTTTGCGCTTAATGTATGTAGCACTATCTTTAATGCTCCGATTGGTGAAAGTACTTATTACTGCATATATTATATTATATTTATTGTAGCATTTAACAATAGAAATAATAAAGTATTATTTATTTAGTAATCATCTGCAAAGGCGTCTTTTACATTTTGAAAGCTATCGCACCTGAATACCTAGATGATCTGTAACAAGTGTGAATTGAAACAAAAAGCAAGTAATTACCTGAAATTACGTCTGTGGAAAATTTGGAGAGGTTCAAATGTTTGAAGAGTCTGTCTCGATAAATAAGTAACTTCAATCATTAGATAGTTATCGGAGTTTTGAGACACTAGCAGAAATGATTTAGATCTAAACTTTGGTCTTATAATTGTTACGTTATGCATTCAAGGTATCTTCTTTAAAAGTTCCTGTATGACAGCATTCAAAGTTAAATCAGTCAATCGGATAATTTTAGATAAAAGTAAGCTCAAGGAGCTTTAATCTAATATCAAAATGTTTGTCACATATAAATATTAAAAGCCGTTGTAATCTGCTTTTAATAATATACCATATATAATATAAGAATAATATACCTTCTACTGGAGTTATTTCGGTACATTTAAAAGTATTGTGTCCGGGTAATGAAGGACCAGAATTGCTCGTCAAAAGGCTAGACTCGGTTATTTTACAAAGTGATCGTACACAAAACCTTATACCACGTTTACTTAAAGCGTCACATTTTATACACACTCTCGTTGACCCTCCGGTAGTAATTACTACGGGCACGTAAGGGAAATGATTGGCGTCTGCTGGAGAAGTTCACTAACTTCGTAGCATTGTTCTCGTACACTTTTCCGGCCACGTCTTCCCCAGGTGCTTTCTTGTTTCCAGAGTCAGCCTTGCTATAGCATTTTCATGTCCCATTCTTGTTTCGGTTTTGCAACGAGCAGAAGCAAAGCCTTCGATCTTGATCTCAACGACCATCTTCTCATGCGCATTTATGGGTTGTTTGATCCGCTGTATAGCCCGATACCGCAGCTGCCTATGTACGAAGTTATCTTCGAAGCCGCCATCGCACTGGACACATCTGCCTAATGGTACCTCGCTAATTCTAAAACGGTAGAAATCGTTTCTGGCAAATTGCCATCGATACAAGGACAAAGAACAAACACCGCCAGGAACTTGCCCGCGACTATTTTGATGTGCAGTATTACTTGCATCACGCTTTCAACTCTAAATCATTATCTCCAGGTTATCTCAATAGACAGTAAAGTCCTTCTGCCGCAAATGTGTCTTAGTTTTAGGATAGCATCGTACACGTTGCTTTAAAGTTGGGACTCAGAATAAGTTAATGTAGTAATAGTTAAGATAACTTCGATTTGCCATTGCAGACTATTTGGTACTGCATATAAGTGAACATTATGAAGACAAAGTACGCCTGAGCGTTTTTGAAGGAAGAGGGTTCTTCACCGAAAACTGCTGGTTACGTTCTTTTGCGCCTTGGCTAGCTTTTCTGATTCTCTGTTCGATCGCTAAAAGTGCTCAGTGGTTGGATTGGACCCCCCTATATCTGTCTGTAGCCCCCTATATTTTACTCCATTAATGGTTTCGAAACCAAGCCAGGGTTTTCGGTAAATAAACTGAGCAGTAAAATTCCTTCCTTTAGCCATAAAAAATACGGTTCTTCTTTTTTTTTGATAGTCTAATGAATATCTCCTATAGAAGAATATTTGTGGCAATCTTATGTAAAATACAATCAACGACAATTTCGACTACACTATTAGGGAAGACTGTGGTAGCCGCTGCAGGAACACCATGCACTTCAAGCGGCTTTCTAACTTAAATTCCTTTTGTTGTAGTCTACATTGGACACCGAGCTGACACACTTCGTTACGTGCTGAGAGACAACCGTCTGAAGCAATCCTTGACTAAGGCAGTGCCAAACATAATACTCGAAACAGTATTCAAATAGCCCAGATGAAAGCGCATTTCGGTGAAAGCTCCTGATTCTGTTTAGATGCGGACCAAGCTGACGAAGTGCTTTGACGTACCTACGTTGCGGCAGCTGAGAGTGTCTCATTGCCGACGATTAGCAGAGTATTGTTCATGCCTCAGAGACTCCGGGTCTTCAGGTGCGCCCTGCACATGTGCTCACCATTAAGCAGGTCGTGTATGCGGAATATTGGCATCTCGCTACAACAGACATTAGCTTGACATTCTGTTGGTTTGCTGAAAGCCATCTGATCTCTCGTGCCCCACCCATAGAATGTTAATTACATATGTTATGCAAGTAATCATAATTTAGACCTAGATTTATATATATATGTTAGTAAGTAAGACTGTTATGCCTATCTCAAAATTACCGAATCGACATTGAATGTCAATATTTGCACTACAAAATATTTATTGTTTTTAAATTGTTTAAAAATGTTTTAAAAAGTTCGTAAACTATCAAAATAAAGGTAAATCAAAATTTTCAACTAATATAATCTACTTATTTTTCGTATTCCTTTTTTAGTATGGTTAGGCAATAGGTATATATATATATATATATATATATATATATATATAGCCACCTATTCTGGCTATTAACGGGCACGTTTTATCATATATATCCATTAAAAGCAAACGTGCTTGTTGTACTCATGAAGTGGCGCGCGTACCTAACAAGATCTGAATCGATCTGAGTCGTCTAGACTCAATGTTGTTTGAGGGACATTTTACCTCGTTAGCAGTGGGCTAGTTGCTGGAGCTCCCCTCAGCTCCTCTTAATGGTAATTGTCAACTGTTGAAACATTACAAGATGCCAACACAAAGCACTGCGTTGTCAACCAGGCATGGATCACATCTAGAAACCATCCCATACTGGTGTTACTATATATTAACTACGTTTAAAGCGTTCAGCGGTCCTACATTCATGTAGATACAAACCGATAGCTAAGTCACGAAAACAGAAATTACCCTCGAAACGGAGATCCTTAGACTTGAATAGAAATAATTCATAGGGTCAGCCTCCTATTGTCCCGACGTGACTGTACCGCGGCTGCGCGTGTAGATGGATACACCTAGTTTGGTGCTGGAAGGGGTCATCCGGTATCATCACAGAAAGCACATAGAATTTAGCGTTGCATACGTGTCAAAAAACTGTTTGAAACGATGACATGTAGTAATTTTAGTATTAACTGTAGTAATACAGTTTGCTCCATGTATATGAGCAAATAACAGTACTTCTATTCGAAATAAATATATTTGAGCCGAAAGTACGTACTCCTGCACGATCTGCCAGACAAAAAAATTTAAGGAACTTACATAGATTGTTACCTTAAAGCGCTTCAACCGGTACGAGCAATTGTTGCTGATCGGAATATTAATCTTACGCTAAAACTTATTTCCAATACTGATTCGTATGATGCCTTTTGATGTATGCGCTACAAGTGAAATAAATCAAATCTCAAATATTATATATTTATACATGAACGAAACCACATGCCGCTTCAAAAGTTAGCCTCGTTATGGTTATAAATCTTTGCCAATACAATTTCTTACTTTCCTTGTCTTCTGCCCAATACTTCTATTGTTGTTTTGCCTCAGTGGGTAACTCATCATGATTTTTTAACGCTCGTTTGCCCTTTCTCTCATTGTCGATAGATATTTTCAACCTTTACGTCTTATGCATGTATTTTTATGCCGCTTATCTTACGCTGTCTCAAGCATAACCATATCAGATTCCAATAAGATATCTTATAGTTATAGAGAGGAAGAAGATAAAGTAAAAGATCTGAAAGTTATAAAGAAAAGTTAAAAGATAAAGAGAAGGAACTAGCAGCAGTCATGAAAGAACAGGCAGTTCGTTCCAAATGTTGAGGGAAATGTGTATGGTTCAATTAGAATTTCACCATCTGAAGTGTCCCAAATTGGAAATTTGGGTTTTTACAGCAGTACAAATTCAAAACTCGTTAATTGCCGAGTACCTTAGACATGACTGTCAATGATTGCAACGTGTCTTTTTACGCCATTCTCTTAAGTTAAGCGCAACTGCATTCAATATGGCATATTAATCTTGTATCAGTTCCGGATCAGTTATATGTTGCTTGTATCGAACGGTATGCAGTATACTCAGTGCAATCAAATGTCTCGCCTGAAACGCGAAATATGTTTAAAGTGAGTGTATCATAGGCGAGTATTATAGCCAAACGCAGTCACGTCTGCCTTGGTTTCAATTTGTTCGATCTTATTTAATATCCTATTTTGTTGCCCTTACAGCAAAAGGTCACATATCGCTGTTCCTATCGTTCTTATTCACCGTCGAGAGTGCACAATCTGCTTCCGCCGTCGTCAACCGCTAGCCAAAAAAGCATCCACAGAAGCCTGTTGACATTGGCATCGCTATCCCTGTTGAACGCTGGCGACAGCTGACGCTGATTAGACAAGCGTCTTTTTCATTAAAATATTGTTTGAAATTGTTCAAATACATCAAGCACCTTGCTTACACAACAACTGTTACTGCCGCTATTTCAGCACGACAGCTTCGATAACCATCTTCTTCCTCGATTAGAATATTTCAGCGAAAGAAACGGCATTGTCACTCGAAACAGGCACTCCCCCGTCGTGCCACCACCATCAACGGTTGCCGTCTGTGTGGAATACGAATTAGCCTGGGGGCAAATTGAAGGTAGCCCGGAGGCGTCGTCTGGCGTTGCCTTACCCTACCCGCTACCACTGCTGCTGTTATTGTTGCCCACTTCAATTCAATTTGCCCAGCCAAATAATCATGCTGAACAATGTAATTAGTATTATATATGTTCTTCTGTACGGCAGCTAACCTTGGGAAGTTAAGTTGCCACGCTTATACCGTAGAGGCCAGCTGCTCGCGGCAGCAGAAAGAATAGTATGGGCATACCACTGTGAGTGTTGTCGTTAATTCTGCTGTTTTGATTAATAATGCATAATACTACCGTGTAGTCAAATGGCGCAGGTAACAAGGTATCATCTCGCTGGTACAGCAGTATGATAAGAACAGGATGCGCCATTGGCATAAGCAACAGCAAAGACCGCGTACATTTTCGTCTTACAACATGATGATTGGTTTAGCGTGGTCTCTATCCCTCTAACAGCTTTCGATCGTCTAATCAACCCAATTCCCAATGGACAATCATGGCTACTGAATTACATATTTGACAATGCTCAGTATAGTGACAGATAGAGTCGCCCGCCATCAACTTACAAATTAAGTGCCAGAACGCTGCCATATTGTTTGCAGTGTAGATATTTCAAGATGTTTATGGCGGTTCTATTCTGTAATAATTAGGAGTTGCTTCCAATTAGACGCCGCATCGTAGCCAATTCTAAGCTGTTTCAAAAATCATGTTTTTACGACTAAAGTACTTGCTGGGAGGCATCGCTAAGTTGTCGTGCGTAGTATATTTGGTCATGGTTGTATTTGAATCTGTAAAATTCAACGAAGGCGTTCCGCAGATATTGAAGTATTTAGGAGGAAGATTTATATGACACCTGTATAAAAGGCAGAAGGTTGTAAATTGTTCGGGAAATAAAATGTTCTTGTTAGGAGCAGGACTTCGATTCGTGAACCAGAATTTGTTCATGCTAAGAAAAAAAATGATTTGTCACACCAAGTATAACTGCAGTATAACTGTTTACCACACTTTGGTTAATTCATATACCCCTGCCTCATGTTTGGAAATATTGAGAGTTGTCATTTAGTGCAACCATGGTTGCTCATAGGCACATTTGTATATGGCTTATTTTTTCTACTCCATGTTTATTGGTTTTTTGGTCACGTTTATAATGAGTTATCTATTGTCGAACGTCGCAATGCACTGCGTGACCAACAGCAGCGATCGTTCCTTCATATTATTAATGAATGAGATGACCGTTTTGGCAACTGGTGTATTGCGGCATGTTTTCCGCCACACATAGTGCTTGAACCAGATTATGTTACCTTATAGCTTATAGATTCTGGTAAATGTCGGAACTTACGTTTTGCTAGTACTCATCGATAAGTGACATGTTCACTTTAAATACACTATTTGTAACCAGTAATATAAACGCAATGACTCGTGTATTGGGAATCTGTGCTAAGCAAGTCTATACGACAGCATGCTCTAGTTAGTATGCTCCCCGCTTCGAAGCTATGCTAATACGATCAATGCAGAAAAATTCTAAATATGGTACGTGCAATAACGGCAAACTGCAGCAGCACTGACCCGTTTGCTTACCATCCTGACGGAGGGAATTTAAAATCAAGTAAGGTACATTGTTGCAATTACCAAGATAGGAAATTTCCGAGAGAAAACGCCCCAAACAATGGTAATGAAGTTACCTCCATATATAGCTTGAAATGCAGATTTTACATGAATCAAATGTATTTCGCAGTATTCATTCTATAGTAGTATTAAATGTATCTTCAAACGCCGCGACCTTTGCTAATTATAATAATAAATTATCACAATGTTTTGCTGACCGGAGGTAATTAGTGGGTTGGAGTTTTTGAATAATTTTTAAACTATGCATTACGAGAAAACTAACTAGGTTTTTAGCTATCTGCTTCTAAATAGGCTTTCTGGAGTAATAGTGAGTTTAGAGGCAATGTTTAATGCTAAAAATGCTAAAAAAAAGTTTTTGTTTCTCTAGCGTGAGTATGATTGTGGAGTCCTTCAAAAATTAATGAAGACGTTAGACTGACTGGAAAGTTAAAAATCACAAAAGAGCTGACTGCATCTCAGAACCTAAACGGAAGAACGAGTCCCTGCGATTCCAGAAATTTTGAGTAAAATAGTAGGAAACATAAAAGATGAAGCACAAAAATGGGCGACGCGATTTATTGACGCGATTAATTATCTTCCGAATTGTTGAAGAAGTTCAAGGATGTGTGCCCCGAGATTCGACGGTATGCAATGTAGTTACACAATTGCCATGCTTCGATCACGGCGTATATCGAGAAAAATAGAACTAAATCATGGCTTCAGCATCTATAGATCTATTTCCGTGTGATTCTAGGTGCCGCCATGCCTCAAAAGGAGGTAAGAGAGGAGATGTATTGCCGTTGATTCTCTCAAAAACTCCACTGACGAGGTAGATGTGATAGTGCAAATTACATGTATAAAGATATTGCCAAGCTCCAAGAGCGCTGGCGCTAATCGTGAACCCTAAAAGAGTATAAATCTTATTACCAACGGTTTAGCAGTTATTCAAGTTTTTCTACCCGTCAAATAACCCTTAACAATCTAATAGCCTGAATATGCAGTTACTTTCATTTGATTATTAATACTAATTTATTCATTTAAACGCATACAAACATTGTTTTACTATGAAATAACATACAGTTTAGATACATTCGTCATTTTACATGGACTGCCGGTAGAGCTACGTGCTCTTTCCTGACCTTCCCTCATAGGAGCAATTGTCATGGTCATGATTTGTCGACCATCTTCCTTTAAATATGCAGAATCACCTTTATGATAAACTTCACTTTGTTCATCTTGTAGTCGCATAAAAAACATAGAGAACCTACAAGTTTATCTAATTTCCGCGCGTTGTTTGACTTTGGTGAAGAACTGCTCAAGAGACGTCATCAGCCGCTGTCTGAGCAACTTCGGTGAACTTCCCTCGATTTTTGTCAATTTATACTGCAACAAGTCTATCACATTAAGCGGTAGCCATACTTTTTGGCCTGACACGACGGACTCCTGGACGTTCAACATCTCTGGGTTCGAACCGAGTGCCGCTTCCACCTAAAATTTGAGATGAAAGGAATCATCAGAATAGAAGAACAAAGAAATAGAACGCAATCAGAGTTAGTGATTCCTAACGTGTGCAAACGCCTTTGAGTATAGAAGTCACATACGGTTAGCAGTCTATCCCCTAAATAATAGATGTATTAAGAAAATATTTTAGGTTTCCACTAACCATGAGGAGTGCGAGTTCTGTCGCTTCTGTGAGCCGTTCATAAGCAACATAAATCATAAGTAGCTCGGCTGGATTCCTTTTCTGGTACTCAACTACAAACCACGGTGGTAGCGCACACGCCGAATATAGGAAAACTCGCGCAGATACACGAAAGTATCGGCTGCCCTCACTCTCCATTAGAAGATGGCTCAAATAAAACAGAGCAGCTTTAGGTACATCATTAACATACTCTGTGTTCTCAAGGATCCATTCAGGATTTCGGGGACCAATTTCCGTAGCGTCTTCATAGGCTAGTGGCATCTATACGAAGCAGAGATAAAAACATGTATATTAATATTTACCGTAATGTTAGATTTAATCTAATTCTCCTTTCCTATCTATCTATACATTCCATTAGGGTCCGCTAATTAAGGCCGCTCATAGTACGAGTAATTAGATTACCAGAGCCGTTGTAGATACTAAGTGGGATCTCTCTGTACGGCGACTACGTTGTAAAATCATAGCGGAGTTAGCCGGTCGTCGATTGCTACCATCTTGACACACAAACATTGCGTATTTGACACAGCCACAAATAATTGAATAAAAATCAATAAGTAAGACGGATACTGAGCAATTTGCATATCCATATGAAAGCATAAGTTTACCTTGCAACAAGCAAGCGTAACGTTCTCAAATAGTATTGCTTTGTTGAGATTGAAGAGAGCGCACAGCTGTACAACAGAATCATACATTGAGTGTCGCACAAGAAGCGCTACGGTTTCTTCTGCACTTAAAGGCGTTAAGAAGTTCTTCTCTTGTGACGCAAGTTTGATCCAACTCTGTACTAGGCAAAGCTCTTTTTCAATGGCGCTGAGTTCGAGGACTTCCATATTTTCCTCGAATTCGATCGGTACATCATCACCCTCGGAGTTACATGCTGCCAGACTTTCCCACATTACTACATCCTTCCGGCTTTTTGGTCTGACAATAAATCTGTCGGAAATTAAAAATTAATTTTCAATATTCAATTAAAACTTAATTTTTCAATATCACTTTTCTTATTACAATTGCGACACGAAACCATTATCAGATCATACGTAATTTAAGCTTCATTATACGTATTTACGACGTGTGCAGAAATGTCGACTTTTAACTATTTTTTAATATTTATAGTGTCCTTTAAAGAACCTACCTGTCCTTAAGTAGCTGAAGACCGCTCATAGCTGTGAGGTAGCAGAGCTCTTGTTTGTTTAAGCTCTCAATTCCTTGCAGTTCGCGACTTAACCTTAGACCCTGCTCGAACATAACTGACGCGGCCTGGCGGTACTCTGTATCGCGAATGTGACAACAGTAGAGTAGGTCGTAAAGACATAAATCTATCGTAATATCACTCGTGCGCGCTCGGTGTGTCATGATGTGAAGTAGTTCCTCTCTAAGGTCTCTATGAGGCTTAAACTCGACGAGCACTTCCGGATGCCGTCGGCCCAGTGACTTTGTAATAAGCTCACGAAGGCACGAACGCTGCATTTCGGTGTCCGGTATGGCAGTCAAAGCCTCGCAGGCTTTGTCGATGCGGCTACATTCTAGCTGATGGCGGAATATTAAAGACAGCAATTCAATCATGTACTCAGGTGGCGGCTCGGGTTTTGTAGCAATGGCGGCTTCAGCGAGCCGAATGATTTGATCGTTCGGGCTGTCCATAGATTCTAGAACGGCGATCATTTTCTGATAGTAGATCACACTAATGAGGTCCGGTTCGCATGTCGGAAGGCCGATCTCTTCCAGAACGAATGGGTCGTTAATTGCTTCGTCGTGACTTGAAATAAAAACATCGCAGGCACGCTCCACGTCGCCAGATTTTAAAAGAGCATGCGCAAGGACAAAGTGCTTCAGACCCCTCCGGGCCGGGTCCCACTGAAGTAGACGTAGGAACTCTTGTAGATGACAATACTGACGTTTTTCCATCAAAACCTATGAAATCAATACAAATTCAAAACCGCCATAGGAATAGCATTAAATGTTGCAGGACAATTTAAGTGTTGCGTAATAACAGTGGTCGTCAGCAAAACTTAACTCGTTATTTGGATTCTGAAATGTAAAAAATTCAAGAGTGCTACACCGATACTCCCATTAATTTCTCATTCAATAAGAAATAGTCGATGATTTGTGTGCTCAAAAAGGCATGAATGTCACAGACGGACGTTACATTACCAAGCATATTTACCTGCAACAATTGATAGCTGCTCTCTTGCGAGGGACTAATCAGACAACAATTGTAACGGGTGACATCGTACAGTAGTTGCGTGATATCTTTAACACCGCCGGGTTTACGCTGACCAAGCATTACTGCTGTGTTGTCGTTCGCCAAGAAGAGCTCCATCAGTGTCACTGTCGTACCTTGTTGAGTCGAAGCTGTAGCTGATTGAACTCCTACCATTGGTAAACTTTCAGACAGTGTTAGATTCATTCGCGTGTCACTGTACGTTGTCGTCGGATGAGGGGCAGCGTGGGGATCAGCAGCCGTTTCACAAGCCCATAACACAAGGAAATAGCAACGCATCGTATTCACCGTGGACTGGAGATGCTCTGTCTTAATGGAGTGTGAGTTACTAGCCGGAATATTAATCTCATCGTGGTTTAACACAAGAAGGGCCTCAAAAATTACTAGCCGTTGACACAAGTCGTACATAAGGGTAGCTCGCTGGTAAACGTTCTGTGCCATCAAAGTGATTCCTAGCGGACCAGAGAGCAACGTCGGTGAAAGGTCGACGCCAGCTTCGAGCGGAGGATCAGTGACTTCACTGTCGATCAGGACGATAAGTCGAGACAAAATTTCTGTCCACATTCGGCCCACTGACCTAGCAGCCTAGAAGATGCGGCCGAAAATAATCAATAGAACATGATGGGTGGCAAAGGATACTCAAGAGGCAAAGCGCACTAGATATATATATATATATATATTTTAACAATATTTTCAGAAACAATTTGTAGTGCAGCTAAGATATCTGATACGCAATTCTATTATTCTATATTCTAATTATATATATATATATATATATAAGAATTCTTATATAAGAAGAAGATATCTTAGCTGCACTACAAATCATTTCTAAAAATATTGTTAAATATATGGTATGTCATAACGGTATGAAAATTAGTAAGTCCAAGTCGAACAGAAAATTAACCTTTATGAAGGGTTGCTGAAATTCCCTGTTGCTATTAATGGTTCTTGCCAGCTGCCAGATGCATTCTTCAATGGGACCGTTATCGTATACAGCCAATGATAAGTCGTAGAGTGATTCAGGTTCCAGTGTCTGATTAACAAGCCCAAGGCAGTCCACTAGCTCCCTTATTCCCGCGACTTGAACTGGACCCAGACTCTGTGACAGAAGTACCTGTTCGGCATCGTCACACTCTTGAATTATGCCCAGCTGAAGTGTAATCAAAGCATAAAATCGTTAAGATCAGACAAAATGTAATCACAACCCCTCTAAAATACAAACCAAATTTATTGGGTTATACAATTCAATTAAATCCACTAGAAGAGTTCTAATTATGTTTTTGTTTATCTATGTAAATTCTCACAAGTTGAAAATAAGTAGATGAAAACATCACAACATTAGTCAGCTCTGCAGCTTTACAAACAGAAAAAAAACACCGTGTATATAGCGTATACGGCGAAAAAGACCACGACTCTGTACGCACATATGTGCATAAGTAGATATGCAGCTCTATATCAGAGCATTTATACTTGAATCTATCTACCTGGTCAGATTTGACAACAGCTGTAAGCTGCTCGCCTAACACTATTCCAAGCGGTTTGAGTCCATCGTTATGGTATTGGACTGCATACGAGAGGAACTTTTCATAAACTTCCGTTTGCGCTTCTTCTTCATCGACTCCTGAGTCGAGCCGTCTGTCGATGGCTAATGATATTAGTTCCATGATCTCATCGCGTTGCGTACCTGTACAGTTTGAGAACGCGATAGAAACCATCAGACATCCCGGTAATAACGTAATGGTGTTTTTGCTTATTTTACTTAGAAACATGTAATGATTCGAGGTTCGAAATCAACTTCGTTCTGTGCTGCCGTCTGAAATAATGCTAATCGCCTGTACCAGATATAAGACGTGAAACATTTATTGAAAACAACATATCGACAGACGGTGAAGCATCGGTTTTAGTATTATGCTACTAAAACCCCAGGTAATTAAGAATGAACAAAAGGAAAAACGGGGATTTTCACCTCTATGATAAGAACTAGTAGGATTTTGCATTACCTGTGTCTTAGATGGCAACTTTAGGGAGATATTCCCGTTTGACCCGTAACTATACTGCCTATAAGCCTATAAGAAACATACATATAACCAAAGTTATACCTTGCATTATTGGTACTCGTATCTGTATTGGTATTTCAACATACCGTTGAACTGTGCCAGCGTGTCACCAAACTCTGTTTTTCGAAAAATAGCAACGGTTTTCGTGAGCGCGTTAACCCCAAAACAGTCCCCACGAAAGATCTTGTCTAAGTACTCTTCATTTATTCCGGTATCCTGCAAATGAGTGCGTCGTTCCTGGTATACGTCGAAAATAGTGTAGCACACGAAAAAACATTGAAAATCAAAATTAGTGTAGTAAATAAATATGAAACATACATTAATGGAACATATTAAATAAAAATGCCCTATTATATACCTCTTTATCGCTTTTCATTCAAATGTTGCATCATTATATTGTAAACTCGTCACAGAGGTGTGCAGTGATACCAACGACATCGCTTACTTTGTATTCACCAAACGTTTTACTCACTCCATTGACGGGATCTGCCCAGTGAACAGACATCCAATGAGGATCGGCCACCATTTGGTCCGCTCCATACTCGAACGCCGTCATAAAGGGATCTCCACTTGAACTCACAAAAAGAACCCAGAGTCGTAACGAGTCTGCACCGAAATCCACAATGTTGGTATCAGGAAACTTAATGCTTGCAAGCTATATTTCGGACGCATGAAAACAAACCGTTTGTTTGTCATGATCATAAATACGTAAAAATTGTTAGACGAAGCGTGGTTAAGTATATTATGCTCAACTGCAATATGGATATTCAATTAATGCAATCATCACTTTTGCAAGTCACATCAAGTATTGTCATGCCGGGTAACTGCGAAACAAATTTATTCCTATTATCTAAACATCCGTAAAACACATAGTCCCTAAGGCTTTGGCACAAACCAAAAGAATAAAAAAAAAACACCAATACATATTTAAATGGAATACGTAAGATGGATTAAAATGCCAGAAACCTCAAAATGTCTAAATCAATGAACCTGACTTTGCTGCACCGAATGGTGCATAATTTTGCACATACCGTGGAGAAGCGGACGCCATAATGTGGGTCGACCTGTGGTTTCAGAATAGCAAAACGCTCAAAAGCACGCACGATTAACAAATTACGATTAAGTACCCGCTTCATATCGAAGGATCGGGAACCTCCGGATGAGGTGACCCCTGTATCAAGACAGCCCATGATCTCCGATAAGCTTACGTTGGAAACCACTTCATTACTATAGAATGACCACGCACAGAGCCTGAAACAAAATGCATCAATATTTTTGCTCTAATAACCTAAAAAATAATTTTTATTGCTATTTAATTAAGTCGATATTATAATATATGCGAACAGTAGGTAATCTATCTAAATAAACTAATTCATTCTTTTTATAATTTTAGAAGAATCCATTAGTTCTTCTCCAATGCCCAAGAGTACATCTAAGAACCGAAAGAGTCGAAAAGGAATTCGATTTTCACATGGCTTTCAAATAAAAAAAATCACTTTACAGCGTTGTTTTTCAAAAGAGAAACAATAATGAATACTTCGTTGAGCATAGTTAGTACATACCGACGGTCGTTTCCTAGGGCAAAAATGAGAAAATCATTTTCGTGCTCAAAGCATGTCACCGCAGCTGGGGCTTCTCCAGAGCCCTCTCGAGGCCGTATGACGGTAGGCAGCATGCCTGTCAAGCGCTTCTTGATTGTCCGAGTTCTTTGAAGTTCCTGGGATTGTGCTTGCCCTGAAGACAAAAAATAGTGTAAATCTATTATAGTATGGGGTCCTTAAAGCCCATAAACAAGAAACATAATTGGATAATCAATGTTATTTATGAATGCGTTCTAGTATTTCAAGCAACAACAAGGTCAATGACATGCGTACCATCAACATAAAAGGTTATGAGGTGAAGCGAGCCTGTTGTTCCGACGACGAACATGCCATCATTACCTGCTGTCAGGTAATTACTGCACAATGTGATCTGAAAAAACGCGAAAATATGCATAACAAAATACATACATAGTTCAGTCCCTTATGCTTGCATTACAGCACGTAGTCACTGAGTAAATAATATGCCATCTCAGCTGATGACAAAATCTTTTTAGATGTTCCTCTTGCTAATCTGCGAGGATAAATTAATTAGCAATCGTGAACAAAAAGTACCTACAACGCCTTTTCAGCACTTCCTTTTTTTGATAAATCACAATTTGACTTAAGGCGAAAACCAGGGCAAATACTGCGTCCTGTTACTAAACAAAAATTTTTTTTTGGTAAGATTTACCTGTCCCGGGAGTGAGGGTAAGTAATAGTCCTTAAGTGCGGAGCCTGCCGCATCTGAAAATATACTGCGAGTTGCGTCAAGAAGACGAGGATGGGGAAACGCCACCCGATGTAACGAGCCCAGAGTACTAAGAAGGAGGATCACATAGTCCTCTCCACTCTCGGACAATGTCACCGAATCTCCGAGAATTGGTGTATTAATTAGCTTAATTCGTAGCCTAAGTAACAAGAGAAACAGTTTCATAGATCGTTAAACGTTTGCATCCATCTCTGAAAAATGCTTACAGTAACGTACCTAATCAATGTGATGCGTAGGATTAGGTACCTTCTATATATTGCACCTATATTTACAAGAAAAATACAATTCGAATAAGTAAATAAGCTAATAATTCTGACACGTATATATATATTTTTTGCAGTCTCTCACTTTCTTTTATTCCTCACTGAATAAAGTGTACAACGCGGCTTAATTATGTTTCAGCCGTTTCATTTATCTTTCTAACAGTTGAAAATTAGTCAGAAAAGAAGCTCCTATGTAAAGATATCGTAAAATAACCTGTTGCCTTGCAGTTTAGAATCAAGGCTTTCCTCGACCAGCTCGATACTTCCTTGCTGGGTTCGCCAATAAATAAAACGGTTCCATGGGCTCGGCAACACTAAGCCGCCGGCTTTCTCGATGACTGATACCGTTTCCAAGCTACCCTGGCCGGTCCCCGTATCTGTAACGATCCCATTTTAATATAAACAATAGCAGAAATTTTATTTAGCCTAAAATCACACGGCAATATTTCGCTTTTAGCCTAAAAAATTATTCTTATTCTCACAATTTATTCTATGAAATAGCTCAAATAATTTAAGCGCACTACAGTGGTCGTTTCACTAGCTAATACATTTTATTTTTACTAAAAACTATAATATTAATTTCTTTATTAGCTTTGAGCTATATAAGGTTTAATATTAACCCCCTTATCATAACTGTAAACAACGCGTTCTTGTAAAATCGTTCTTTTATTTCCAAAATGGTGTATTATACGCGTGTTCAGTTTTGCGGTTAGCGCAAAAACAGAACTCCAGTACAAAATGTACCGGCTTACGAGCCATATCCGCCCCTAAAGATCAACAAGTAATGACTAACAAATAAGCCATTTGATTCGTGTCCATTAGTTGCTTGAGATTAGCTAATAGCAAATATGCAAAAAAGCAAAAGCCACGAATTCTAGAAGTCACTACGCTATCGAGTCCTTCCACTTTATGAAATAGAATAATTTTAGTCTATTTGCTTATGTAATAGTTACAGAAGAATGCACGTTGTCCACTGAAGTACAAAAATTCGCCCTTATATAACAACTACCGTTTGTGCCAGTCGACAAATTCTATTTGTGTCCTGACTTTTTATCGCGTACCGACATTTCCATATCGATCGCAGCTGACAGCCGCTAATCACAGCAAATGATCAACAGTGATCTACACTGTCCCTACACACTAAGCGATGAGTGTTTCTAATTCCAATGTGGTTAAAGTTTTTGTTTTCTGAAATTCATAAATTCATAATTGTGAACTCGAAATGCAGGAGAGCAGAACGCATCGAACGAGGTGCTCATTACTCACCCAGCAATAATTCTCGCCATTTAACTGGTTGTTTCTGTACGATAGGCAGTTCTCGAAATCCCACAATTTCTGTTGTGTCCATTTTTGAGTATGCTTTAGACATGCCTTTTCACTGAACCACGATAACTGGTCGTTTGTGCTGTAAAATTCAAATAAAACGGCGCACCCTGTAACACACCGGTAATCGCATTCTCGCAGTTTGGCAGCATGCAACAAAATGGCGCCAAAACAAATGTTTTGCCCGCTAAATTTGAACCGTACAAAAATAAACTTAAGCAAACACTCAGCGGATGATGGCGGTTGTCAGATATGACTATCCTCAGGTGTCACACCTTAGGCGGAAGACAGAAAAGAATAGCCTCAGGACAATTACAGCTTAAAGTATATATATGCCCGTTTGATTTGTTATCGGGACTTTTTTGATCTGTCTTCAAGAAGAATAGTAAGAACAGTTGTGCCCCGTGTAAAATATATGCCTCGCATTGTGTGGAGGCTTTTATCAGACGTATGCCATTTTCAGGGCCTTGCTCTCTGTGTTTCCAGTTTACGTCTGGTATCGCGGTTAGGCATTCCTTCTTTAGGGCCTTACTCAGTATGGCAAATAAGTGAATAATATAACTTCATACTTGATTTTGATCTTGATATAGAGTCCAGTTGTCATCACCTGAGCTTAGTAGAATGATCATATAGCTAAAAAAAAAGCAACTTAGTAATTACTATATAGACTTGCAAAAGCTATTTCGATGCTAGCTGCCAACCGCTGCGAACGCTGACATTAACATTTTCTGGGGTGATTCTAGCCTCCACCGGCAGATCGATTAACTAAGTGCGTTCCAGAACTTGATATGTACTGATTATGCACCTTATAATTTTGACGTTTTTTTGGGTATTAAATCACTTATTATTATTATTTTCTGGGTATTAAATCAGTTCTGAGTCGTGAGGTATAACTAGAGGGGTTATCCAGGAGGAATCTACAGCATAACTGGGCCTACCTCAGTTTCTTGCTGGGACCCGCGACAATTAGACTTATATTGGTGAGTGTCAGTCTCGATGTGGAATATTATGTCGTGTTTTTTCATTGAGTATTGGCTATCCGTGGTTGTCTGTAGGTCTTATTAGACTTATCTGGATTTTCAGTTTAAAAGACCTTTATGCTGCGAGTCTTACACGTCCGGCATTGCCTTTAGGCATTTCATCAGACGGCTGGCTCCTAGTACGAAACGAACCGTGTGTCTATGCCCGGGTTCGCACCGAGGTCACAACGTGTTCCTAAGATTAGTAGGCAAATACTTGTCCAATAGAGACGACCTAGTCACAGTAACCGTTTGTCAACTCAGCAATGATCGCATGTTCATGTTTCATGGCATAGCAAGGCACTCGAAGATATGTGGTTAAATGCATAATCATCACAATTATACACCTAACAGCTTACTAAATTTTATGACGAATTGGACTCTATTTCACGAGAATGGGAAAAAATTGAAGGTAGCTAAGGTAGCTTGTTGATATTCAGCCAGTTAATCTAAATTGGTTCTTATAGTATATATATATATACTTGCAGTCGCAGTAAACAGCCTCATAAGCCACCTTTTCTGCACCAGGCTAAAAGAGGGAAAACACCAGCGAGGAGGGGGAGATACAGTTGGCCATGCGTGAACGAAAGGGAAAGGAGCGATGCGCTGTCTTGACCAAATTGTCTCGTTGATTGTACGTTATTGTCGCTTATTGCTTAACAAGTGAATAAGTTTCTGGTTAAATGTAGGTCGCTTTAATTAGTGAAATATTAATTTTCTTTATGTATTATAAACGTAAGAGAAAATGAAACGTGCTCGTATATCGCAGTCTTGAAAAGTATCGATGCTGTTCATCTGATGAATGCGTTAGGTTAAGATAATTGATTAAAATTATAATGCAAAATTAGCTTACCGTATTATTCACGACAGAATATGGATAGGGCACATAATTATTTATCATTCACTTCTGCCGGTTGTTATAATTTGCTGTACCCGACTCTTGCTAGTATTTGTTTCCATAAAGTTGCTTAAAAGTTTTCACGCTTTCTCATTATTATATGATTCCCTAGTGCTCTTTTGTTACCTTTTCGAAGTCCAATGAAATATGTATAGAAAACATATTGCACCATTCGATCATCTTGGACAGATATACAATGATATTTTGAAGAATCGCTTTTTGATCGATGATCAGTAGCCGACCTATTGATTTTGTTTTAGACGTTCCGGTTTTCAAATGCTCAGTAATTTGGAAAACATGTTATGACTCAATCTCAAAGGGTGATATTAAGAAGGGGTAGAAAATCTCGGAGAGCTGCTGAACTTTGTTGAGTTCGCACACGAGAAAGAACTGGAGGTTTCACTCGGCAGTAACTATTACTTAGACAAAAAAAGAAAATTGAAAGACCTCAAATTCTAGCCAAAATAATCACGTTTATGCTTGTATTCGTAGCGGTATATCGGATAAAAGTGATACGCGGCGCTCCACCACAGGTAGCTGTGGACCAGAGCGTTTAGCAATTGCAGTGCAGTTGTCAAAACCACGTACGCGCCAAAACCTTAAGGCTAATCAGCCGAACGCAGCATCCAGCTACGCAGGCCTTTTTGTCTGCATCATCTGGAGGAGTTCCCCAATGAGACCGCACTGCAGCTACATCATCGGGCATCGCACAAATTTCCAACATGGAGAAGGTTCGGTGACATGTGTTTGACAAATAATGCATTAAATTAGCATAAACAAGTTTATGTAAGACAGATGACAGAGAGGGAACTTGATAGGATCGAACATTAAATTCGTTTTGAACAGAATCTCTACATCGTCAAGAAACACCTTTATATTTGCCATCAAAAAAAACAAATCGTTCAAATAGTTCAGTGTCCCTTGAAATGTGGCAAAATAAATGATTATATATAATACGATTATAGTACCCAACGACGGTACTGAATAATGATTTAGTGGCTTTATGAAAACAGATTACGTTATCCACATGAAGGATACTAAATATGTAATGCTCTGTGAAAGCGAAAAAGGCCAGAGAAGTTGATTAAAGCACGAAAATTGTAATTTTTAATAATGGCCGCTGACACGTGTACATCAACGAGAAATATTTACCGTGTTGATACTGTAATTTTTTTATTCTATTTCGGTTCAAAACGAACTTTATAAGCGTAAACCCTTTTGAGAAATTTTAGAAATGCTTGTGTGAACCTGTATAATGTACTTTTACGCAATACGTCAACATGATAATGTTGTGTTGCCCATGCACTTAATGCAGTGCCCCTAACTTTGCCATTGCGTATTGAAGCACGTAAGATCGATGCGTTCATCGTGCGTTAAACAGGCTCACGAGGTCGTACTGTTTTTGCATTTCTTAGCCTGTTAGACAGATGTGTATATGTGTTATTCAAATAAACACAATCCTTTAGTATGGCGTTTATAATAACTTAATAGAAGCTTATAAGCATACGTGATTCTATGTTACCTTTCTATCAAAATGACTTCTCGAAGGTGTTGTATTGAATATGAAAGGGAATAAGTATTTGATTATACTAATCAAGTATAGTTGGACATTTTTAGATTTACATTACATTTTGGATTTAGAGAGATCAATGGATAGGCCGATTATGCTCAAGTTGTAAGGCACACTTTTTTACAGCATAGTGTCGCCGCTAGAAAAAATTCCGGACGTAAACATTCGGTTTTTACTGCCATGGTTTATAACTAAATACTGTAGAAAATACCATATAGTTGTTCTAAACGTGAACGATTTTCGCGTACTCTGAATAAAACTTTTTCTACATAGTTAGTGTACTGTGGGTCATCGCGTACTACCAGGTGGGCACGCGTTGATACTCAATGCCACAAATCGGAAATCAAGATTGAACACGAATCATTTGCATCGTGGACCGCAATGGCTTTTACATTTAGCTTCTTTAATAAAGTAGATTTAGAACTTTAATAAAGTAACTTTAAAGTTATTTAATGAATTGCTTTATAGTGGCAAGATATATATGGTCAAATCCCATTTCCGGCAGACGTGCTTTAAGTTAGCGTTAAGCACGCTTCATCCCGTTCTGGGAGCCAGTCGTATGAATCACTGCTTAACGGCTGTGCCGGACATGAAACTCGAAACATTTATTTGGATTTCGTCTCTTACCAGTAGACTCATTTCACCGCAATTTATGATCCTTTTAAACTGCTCACAAAATTACTCTCGCCGATTCACATCCTTTTTTTCGCTTTTGCCAAGCAAAATAACGCTGAGGGAACAAGTCACTATATATTTCAATGAGACAAACATAACGATATGTCACTAAGATAACTGTCGGAGTTCCTAACTTAAAAAATTATATAGAAGAAAATAAATGTGGTTAAGAACAACGCTCCCTTTAAGAAATGTTCTGATTAATTGCTAGGTCCAAATAAAATAGAGAAATGAATACTCTACGAATACAGTGTTGGCTTAAAAAGCTATCAGTTCAAAACCTTTCTATTTGACCATTATGCAATTTACTTGATTAATTATGGATGAATCTGTTTATGGTAAAATCTCATAGAACGTTAAAATCAAGAAACTTTAAGCTTCTCCATGAGTAGTTCAGTAAATATAAAGATTAGACATCGCCGCTTATCACCTTAGATAAGTTCGATTTGAGATCCACCAAAATCAACCTAACAATGTCATACGATGTTATCAAGCTCCCAGGCCGTTATGAGCTTGTTTTTTTTATTTTCGAGAACATAATTAAAGACCATCTTGTCTGAGCAATGAGCAAACTGTAAGAGGCGTCGCTTCGGTAAACGCTTACAGATTGATCAATTTATGTGAAAATTTTAAAAATATTTCATTTTTTCTAATCATTCAAAATCGTCCATAAAATCTTCATAAATTCATAAAAAGTTCCCCTGACCGGCATTCATAGCAGCCGCTTTTTGGCGCGCTTCAACTACACCGTGCGCGCCATCCGAATGTCCATAGCGCTGCTTCGTTCATCTAGCGGCAGAAATTTACCTGACAGTTAATCTTATGCTGCGCGTCAACTCTTTGTTCCATCTAATTGCCAGCCACATCACACGCAGCAGTTCATCGAGTAACTGGGCTGTATTGTCTGTAGATGGTGTATCCGTCCGGCCAAGCGGTTCTGCTCCGGTGCTGCTGATGTTGTGCACTGCTGTTTTTGCTAAATTTTACCGATGCTACTGGCTGCGTGAAGAATTGAACTGAACAAATTGTTCTGTGCTTTTGACTGTTAGCGCCAGTTCGTTGGTGTCGCGTTTTCTCCACTCGCTACATAGTACAAATAGTTAAACGGTATTAGTATATGTGGAAATCGGAGGCACTATCCCCTCAGCGTATAGTCGACAGATTGAACGTTTTAAACAGAGAACGTGCGTGTCCAACGCTACATCGCTTCCATACGCACTGTACTAGTCGTCAGCCCTTGTCTCTAAGTGTATCCTGAGAGCCAGTGACGAACAGGTAAGCATTTCCACAATACGAGGTATTTTTAAAGCAGTGAAATTCACAAACGACTCATCAGTACAGTATTCATAGCTTCTCACTTTACTGTATAATAATATTTTGCTGTGAGTCGCCGGCTGTCATACAGCTGAACGTAAGCAATGTAAACGTCATATGCTATTGTAAGCATATTACGACACACTTGAAGTCGTAAGGGCCAGATGGTGCCGTATAGACGATAACCGGAGCTGAAGCTGTCAAAACATCCAACACAGATAGGTTGCCGTCGTTGGTGCTGGGCTCTGACGCCGCGCTATCACGGAATTGGGTCAGTGTGCTTCGACACGAAATTGGCCAGACAGGCGAAGCTTGACAGGTAGATCATTACGAATTGGGAAGTGAAATTTTTAATTACTCTTTCTGCAAGCATGGCTGCGTGAGCTCTGGTAACGTTACGTTAGAGTAATTGCTGGTGTCGTGCATGTTCAAGGCAGGTGTACCATATATCGTCAGGTGCAAGACAAGTATAATCAGCGATTGCTTCACATCGGTCTTGGAGTCTTTTGAACGTGAGTGAAAATATCTTGGTCTCTGGGTTCCATTTTGAGGAGAAACAACAAGCAGATGGTTTTTGTGTAGCATTTGTTTCCTGTAGTCTACCTAATTATTTAGTCCTATTATGCTTATTGACAATTACAATAGCATGTATTTAGTACGTGCGAGTGCTTTCAGCAGTACAACCGTACGAACCTGACACAAGATTGCGGAAATTACTATATTAAACCATAGGTGAGAGCCATGGCGACAGATGTTTTGAATACTCGCGAACAATTACAATGGAAATGGAGTAAGCGCCGACGGCTGTGCTAGGATTAACTGCTGCGCATGGACAAACAATGAATAAACTGTGTAATCATACATCACAGACAGGCGAACCGTTTTGCGCTTGTGAATGTGTGTCCTATTAGGTGAAACTTTCGCATATTGTAGGGTAGAAGGAGAACGTAGTTGGATCATCCATATCTGCTGGACAAGTCTCTGGAATACATTTTCTGACTAGATGAATACCATAAAACGACAAGATAGCAAGCAGCATGGTTAGCAACTGCCTATTTGTTTTGTTAATGAATCAGTTAGTTATCAGAGGAAGTGTTTGCAAAAAGTAGGGCACTGGCTACCATGTAAGGGAAGACGTTGAACTTTCACACGAAGGATTTAGGATAGAGGTTGGGTTAAACCGAGTCAAGCTAACAAAACATTGATATAATAATACGAACTAGTAAATGCGTACAAAAAAGGATGCCAGTTCATAACAGTAGTTTTCACAGAAGTAATGATTCTGATCTTCTGCAAATTTGTTTTGAATCTTGAATTTTTTTCTAACACTGATATCTGAATTGTGTCAAGAAAAAATTTCAGATGTACCCGCATCTTTGTGTTGCTTTACAGATCAATCCGATTCTCATTTTCGAATCAGCATTTACGTTTCAATTCACAACGTAATAGAAGCGATGCTGCGTACTCGTTACCGAAACGTTCCGCCGTTTGTAATGTAATATTTGCCTTTGTTTGTAATGTAATATGCCTTATTTTCACTGTGGATATTCCTGATTTTCCCGACCAGCATCGGTCTTACCTTAATAATAAGTAACACGTTTTGAGAAGAATCCGTAGAAAACAAAAGAAGCGGCGTATACTGATTGGCCGAAACCATAGTTACAGATCCGAATAGAAAGGTGTCAACAGGAAGAAATATTCTGCGTATAGAGCTTTTTTATTCTACATGTTGCTAATTTTAAATCTATATTTGATCCCGTGGTATGACATTGAAAGCATCTTTGCACCTAATCTATTGGTAATTCCAGAAAGTTCGTGAACCAACTTTGTACTTCAAAGAGTGGCATTTTCAGCTAATTTTCAGAAACATGCAATTCAGTCCGGCTTAACTTTAAAGCAGAGACAATTTTTCTCGTCGATCGCCGAAAAATTTTTTTAAAAAAGGTCTTGAGAAGCTCAGCCTAACTTCTCGCACAGTGGCCGATCAGCTGAGTGATTCAGATTATTTGATCGTTTCTTGCCTTTTTTATATGATAATACACACAGTACACATTATTTCATATATGTATTTTAATTCTGTCGAATTGTAGTCTATTAGTCTTGAGTAATTACACATGATTTAGCGTCACATAGAACTTCTTTTTCATCCTCCTTCGCCTGTCTCTAGTTGTTAGACATTAGCTTTGTAATGAACTATTTCTACCGCAGTCTGTCAGTATGCTTTAAATTAACATAGTTATATATATAGTATATATGCAACAATAGGCAATATATAGTATATATATTGCCTATCGTTAACTATGTTAATTTAAAGCATACTGACAGACTGCGGTAGAAGTAGTTCATTACAAAGCTAATGCCTAAAAACTATATAACAACATTATATATATATATTTGTATTTTTGGAAAAAAGCCCACATTAACAGAAAATCGGTAAAATATTGGGACAGTGCTAGTAGACTCTACTTGTAACTTAATGGCAACATACCCCTAAATCTCCCTTAGTGTGAATTAAGTCGTTCAGCCCACTCCACGTCATAGAAATATTTTAGTCATGGAGAAACATAAAGCAAGTGCAGCGCGAAGAACCACAATGGCAAGCACTTTACGTATGATTGATATATATCGATCTATACGCTCTTAAATGCACTAATTCTTCTTCTAACACAGTAAATATCTGCCGTGTTCCTTTCTACCATGATCGTTTGCTATCTCGTCCGGATAGACATATGTATATTAATGTGTATGTATGTGTGTGTATATGTGTATATATGTGTGTATATGTGTGTGTATATGCATATATGTGTGTGTGTATATGTATATATACATATATATATTATGAGGTGACGTAATGGAATTTTTTAATTGTCGTCCTTGAAAGTCACATTTAAACAACATAACCACCATTCACAGCAATTAAAGCTTAAGCTGAGAAACTAAACCATTCATTAGTCATTTTCAGTTAGTCAATTCAGCTAGTCATTTTTGAACTATTAAATAGTAACAGTGCGTTAAGCGATATTGGTAGGTATAAATGAGTTAGATACCGAAGATTCTAGCGAAATAAAATTTTGGCCTGGTCGCAGGCCGAAAACCCCAAAAATGCAGAAGTCTTCAAGATGAATAATTTTTGTGGACGACCCAATTGATAACTGATGTTTTCTTCTTCAAAATGGCTGTAATTTATCAACGGAACAAAAAAAGGATTGTGAGCAGCATTGAAAAATTTTTAAGCCGTATAAACCTACAATTTAGTAAGATTATTCGGTTTGCCTCGTAGAAATCTTCCTCGGATTTTTCAGCTCGGATTTTTCAGAAGTCTCAACGGCTTTTACTGATAATAACGATTTGTGACGGGGGTTAGTTAACGGGGAGAGACTGGATAACGGCTTGCTTTTGTTCAAACTGCCAAAATGCATTATTTTTTCAAGTTTTCTGTTTTGCTCTAGAAGGAAGGGGCTTTATTCTGGCACCAAAAATGGCGGATTTATGTATGGGTGTAACGATAAATAACCAGCCAAGGTTAGGTCGAAATGAAGTGCAGTACCTTGAATGTGTGTTTGAGTTGTAACTGTATATTCTTGCTTGCATATGCCATATGCGTAGAAGTAAGATGGGGCTGTCGTGATGGTAGAAGAACAGATTTAAGTGACTTATTTAGAAATTACATGGGAGCACTATAAAATAACCTTACTAGTTTCACCTTTACGTGCAAATTAACAAATCACCAGATTACATGAGGTAAACTTCATTTCCGGTCAGTCGCTTAGCGCGAATCAGTACTACAGTCATTTCGGAAACTGAACAGTGTTGGTTAACTAAAGATAAACAGTACTTAATAATAACAGCTGAACTTCACTTGGGTTTTGAATATGGCTTTCCGTTCCAATAGTTGTTTTACGCACTTCCATGAAAAAGAATAATTTCTTGATTGGGGTGAGGTATTTATATATTTTACGTTATCTCACGTTTAAACTTTAAGCCGGGTACCGACAGAGAATCCGGCGAGGCAAACGTGAACGTTGAATTTTAACCTAAAGAACAAGAGTGGATTATTGTAAGCAACTCCTGGACAAACAGTTATTGCTTTTCCTATTTTTCAGAAGTGGCATATTTAGTTGAGGATGGCTAAGAAAAAGGAAGCTTCTGAAGGTCCAGTAAAGCCGGAGATCCCGAAGAAGTATTATGATATTGCTAACCTCCTGAGAAGCAAACTACCCGAGAAAACAACATCTCTCCTCGGGCATAAAGTACGTATGTATGACCTACCTGTATTGGTAATAATTTAAAAAAAGTTGAAAACGGATTGGTGCAAACGTCGATGTGTTCTGCAAAACGGAATAGTTCTTACCTAAACAATTCCGACAATCCCATCCGGGTTTTTTTGAATTGGTTCGTTTGTTTCTGTAACTTTGGCGAGGAAAAGCGTGTGGCTTAACTACGGATTTCTATTGCTGTCATATTTAGCAACTAGTGCTATCACTCGCACATACTAAGTACAACATATTTTGTAAACCGCATAACATATTTTTACAGGTTAAGTATTTCATCGGACGTAAGGCTATCGACGCAATTATGGAATCAAAACTCAAAGACAAGCTAGAGATCCACACACGTCAGCAAGCCTGCTACTTAATGGAGGAGATGCTCGCGTTCAAGTTTTTTCATAGGGCTAGTAAGGTCGCCATGGAAGTTAAACCCAAGAAAAGCAAGGTTCGTAGGGAGACGTGTTTTTATACTTCATTCGGATCTACTCTTGTTTTAAGTTCTGTAATCTTTGAGATGTTGTGCTTCCAGTGTAATCCTGGAAGTATTGCGTTTAAATAACCGGATTTTTTAACTAAGTGAACGGAGAAATTGTCACGACTCGTCATCATGCATTATGCGGCTACTTATGGTAATCAATCGTATCACACACGGCGCGCACGTTGACTTGTATGAATACATCGTCGATTTGCTGTTTAGCCAGCACGCACACTGCAAACCGCTGCCATTAATTCAACATGTTTTTTGTAATTTTAAATATTTTTCAGTATAAGGACTTTTCGTCAGTTCGAGAATCAGTATTCAAGCTTTTGAGATTAGCCAGGCCCGTATCTTTTATAAATTTTATTTCCATAGTTCATGTGATCACAAGTCTCATATTTATAAAGATGTCAAAAATAGTTAATAGGAAGTCCAATGGAGATCAGTTTTATTCAATAATGAATTCTTAATTAGCTTGCGCTCAGTGCTCTCCTCCGATCATCAAATATGGGCCTGCCCCTATAATTACAACATTTTTTGTAGTATTGTATTTTGCTTTAACAATTTATATTTTTGTTTCTTATAATTAACCTGTTCCGTTTCTGTTAGGACCAAGAAAATGAAGAGGATACAGAAGCCAACGCTACGCCACGTGAAACACCACGAACGGAAAAAGGCAAGAAGAAATTCAAGCTAAACATGCACCTTGAACAGATCTTTGTCGACGACCTCGAGCCCTACGTATGGCTGTATGATCCAATACCGTTACGTACATGGATGCTGGGCGGTCTGCTAGTGGTCGCCGCTATCGCCGTGTGCATGTTTCCGTTATGGCCCCGGCGTATGCGAGATGGTGTTTACTATCTCAGTTTGGCGGCCGCCGGGTTTCTCGGTGTCATTCTTGCGTTGGCTGTTATTCGTCGTATACTGTTCGTTATCATTTTCCTCGCGTCGTTTGGCAAACATCGTCTCTGGATACTTCCGAATCTAACGGAAGATTGCGGGTTCTTCGAGAGCTTTGTTCCACTTTACAGTTATGAATATTGCGGCGACGGTATCCAGAAGGAAGCGCAAGGCGCTGAAAATAAGGAGGGAAAATCCCCTTCGACAACAAATAAGAGAACTTCATCGTCAAGTAGCAAAGACAAAGAGGGTAAGGAAGGCAAGGCAGGTTTGTCATCTTCTACTGGAGACGCCATCGATGCCGGAGGTGCGTCAAAGGACGAACGAACAACAGGATCCGAAGAAAGCGAATTCGAGATCTTAGACGCGGGCGAGGGGGAGGCAAAAAAAGATCAATGAACTGCACAAAACTGAACAGTCTGAAGTTTTAGGCAGATCTAATGGACTCTGAGAGGAAGAATAACGCTAGAATAACAGTAACGTAATACAAGCGAGAAGTGAACGATGACCTACTCAATACATGTAATTCAATGAAGATGATAATGAGAATTATGATTATAATTACATCGATGCACAAGAACAAGAAGAAGGTGGTAATCACGAAAGATCCCGTCAAGTTCGCTGGACAGCTCTGTGTGATTGATCCGGGAAATCATAGAGGAAATATATGCAGAAGTACTGGCTCAAAGTTGTCGGCTGCTGGGACTGGCCTATTCACCAGCGTTCCATTAGTTGTATGTGGTTAGCTAGTTATGAGTCGCTCTACTGGGTCTCTCTTTGTCGTTGACGTGGTACTTTCGACGTATCCCAAATCGATGAACTATGGAAGCATTAGCAAGTCGAAGTAGGTAATAATGCTGATCATGAAATAGGGAAAGCCCATCAAAACTAAGTTAAAAGATTAATTGGTGACGGAGCAAATCATTACAATGGTCGAAAGTCGAAAAGCCTGAGGGTGGCTGAAAGTGTATTTTCATATACATATTACAGATTATATATATACACAAAAAAAAAACATCTATAAACCTATCAATCAATGAGAGACGTTTATCCGTGATAAAAAGTGACTAATGCATTACCACAATTTACTAGTATATATATGGTATACACCAGCGGAGATGATGACACACAAATTCCTACATGTGCACGGGTTCCGAGGTAATGGAAGTCATTGACATAATTCGGTAAGATGAAAGATTTGACAGTTTTAGAGAGAATAGAGAAGAGGCAAAAACACCGTGAGAGAGATTTTTTAATAAAAGCAAAAGGTGACCTCTACACGTTTGTGAAAGTTCGTGTTTACTTGTGGAAAAGAAATATAACACTTCAAAATAACTCAGCCTGACAAAGTAAGATTCATTCATTCCTTAATCGAGTAACGCTTAGAGTTGAGCAGAAGGGTTTATTTTCGAGGCGTCGGCATTACTACAGCATGTTCAGTTTACATAACTAGTGTACATACTAGCGAATTATTTCGCGGCTTTGCTCAAGTTTAGAACGGAGTCTATCGTCTGGATTGGCCTTATAATTATCACTAGTAAAAAAGATTTGAGATCTACAGCTATTTTCATAACGGTAACTAAACACGGAAAAGCTGGAAGATGATCAGTCAAGTTGCTGATGTCACTGAGCTATTCAGATGACTTTAGTTAAGGTACTATTTTTGTAAATGCGATGCTTGGCACGTAACAAGAATACAATGAGATTGCAGAAACGTATTAATGAAAAAAGTTGATATTAAGAAATGTCCACAAAATGGCGTGCTCCACTATACCTTGTACATGTACTAAACAAGAACCCAATGTGCCATATACAATGTAGTAAAACTTATGTACTGCAAAACGCGTAACTATGTATCGAGTAGTTCTGTTCGCCCGTCTATAGACTTTATCAATCATCTTTAGTTACCGCCCTTGTTCTGTAAAGGCTGGGACCGATTTCCTCCATTTTTTCTCCTGATACTAAACTCTAAATAAGCAGTGATAATGGAACGTTTAAATCTGCGTTTCAGATCCTCTACAAACAGTGGTGTGTCATTTAGAACGCGCACATACTTGTTGCATGATGAGCGATGCAGCCTTATGTCGCGTTTTAGAAATTCAGGTTTAATTTGGTCTCATTTTCTTAAGTCATGCCGACAAGAGGTGTTTTCATAAGACCTGAAACTCGTAGGAAGCTGCCAGGATCACCTTTATTTTGAACCGGACCAATGCCGTCTATAAGGAGCATTTCTATAGAGTGAGAATCTACGTTCGCCACCATCGATCGTCCGTGCTCTGCAAAATTCGATCGTTCGAAGATAAAATCACATCCTGGTACTAAAAGCTGGTTACGTATGTCAATGCCGCTCCGCTTAGTTAGAGCACGTCGGTAGCGGCACAACCTTACGGTCTGTGCTTTGTTCACACTGATCGCTAGTCCCGCCTTATTTATATATAATGAAAGCCTTGCAAGGACTTGCTGGGTTTAAGAATGACAATATCTCCGGCGTAAAAAAATTTTTTACTTAACCAGCTGACTTATGAACACGGGGGGGGGGGGATCATTCAACAGCAGAAAAAGTTCCTGTAGTACGATTGTCTTTTCTTACGCATGCAGTTATGCCTTTATGTAGAATTTAGTGCAAAACGGTACTGGGTAGTTTTTTTAGATCGATTTTAATTGTTGTTGCAGTAAATAGTGTAGTAGATTACAGCCGCATTCGGTCGCGCCCAACTAAGTTATTTGGGCACGTACTATATATATATATATTTATTATTATATATTATTTATTATTTATATATTGGTAAAGAGGCATCGCATCCAGCTAAATAAGCGATGTGTTTCTAGAAACTTTTTCTTGCAAAAGTTAAAATAAAAGGAAACAACCTCTTATATTTCTCACTACCACTAGAAAGAAATACTCAGTCACCATTTATGAATCGATCTGGCTGACCTTTATTCGCATCTGCGCGTTGGATTTTGAGTTCCGAAGACGTGGATAAGAATTAGTTCAATTGGTCTCTCTACTCCAAGATGGAAGACCATAGCCACAACAAAACTGAGTAGCACGTGGACCACGAAACGCTTAAGGAACTCGCTATGCGACAGTAGCAGCCGTTCACGTGCCGTTGCCGACGTGCACATTACGACGAACATGTGGGTTAAGTAAACGCTGAAAGCAAGACGTGATGCGATCGTGCTTATGTACGCGCCAAACGACTGAGTGGTGTGCGTTTGTTGAAAGGTGCTAGAGCTTGCTAATGACGTAGAGGATGAATCGACAACACGTTGTTCGGAACGCGGGAGAAGCGCTCTTGAGCCGCCTTGACCTGTTATCAGCATTCATATCCAGATAGATTGCAAACGTTCATTTGTCTTCAATATTTTTGTTTATCGCCCATTTAATAAAAAACGAATAACAACATTTGAGAAAAATAGGCGACAGATGTTATAGTCATTGAAAGATATGGGCACGAACATTGTGTAAAACAAACAACCGTGTTTACTAATAAGATCGCTCAATAGGCTATATATGAACGATTCGGGTTACATCAAAGTGAAAGGAACGAAAGGTTCTGATGGCTGCCGTTACTCTATTTCTTGGCCGTTTTAACTATAGGCTGTCAGTCAGACTGAATCAATAGCAAACGTATACAGTGGACAAATATACCGAAGTACAGAACAGTACATTATTGCTGATTATTTTACCGTGCGTACGGGCGTAGGCTACCTCGCAGGGATGTTCTTGTATCAGATAGATCAGTGATATGCCTAGTGCGAACAGAGGCCGGTGAATGGCCGCATAGAATGCTGGGTAGAAAGGCCGAAGTGTGTAATCCCAAGCTCCACTAATCCAGGGATGACCTCCAAACGTCGAATAGCTCATGGAAACCACTGCCAGAATCAGCAATTCAGATCGAATCTTCGAGAGCCACTGGCTGTCCAGCATCTTACTGCCGCATAAACAACCACACAGATAGCCAATAATTACAGAAGGCAAGTGAGCTATAGGGCGTTGGTACACCTGAAAGGTAAGCAAAAAGGTTCATATCATGCATGTAGAGTTTGAACCATGAATTTGTAAAACGGGAGGTGCCCCGGAATAATGTAATTATTTAGTATGTCGGGCTTCGTTGCTTCAGATAGTTACTTTACTATTACTACTTTTACTTTATTATACAGCTGATTATCGCTACTAGCATTCCACGCAAGGCAAACCGCTCAGGGAAGTATGATCACAAACAGTGTTGGTTTCACAAAGAAGTTTATGTGTGGCAGAATGAAAACAGATTTATAATTGTGTTTGCATCTGTCACGACCACTTAGGTCTTTGTGTTACGTTCGCCGCGAAACAGGTTGCAATCGAAAAATAAAATAATATCGTATAATTGAAGATGAGCAAAATACAGTTATAGAGACAGATTTGACAGAAAGGAAATTTAGTCTTGTTAGCTCATATTGACGAAAATTAACAACATCGGATTATGAAAAAGCTTATCGATTAACAAACCTCGTTTGACATACGAAAAATTTCGTGCATGTTTCGACCAGCCATTACGCAAGGGGCGTAATTATACAGAAAAGTCTCAAGCGCGATGTATGCAGTCGCAATCAGGGCCACTACGGAAATAAGTACCATACGGTGGCGCTTTCTGAAAAGGAAATTTTGTGTTTGAACATTTGTTTTAATCTAGTTTTCAGGAATGCCTTTACTAAACTTCGCGTACCCTACATACTCTTAATTTTAGCTACTGTTTTGGATTATTATGAATATTATTTTCCACGCAAATGTGCCGCTTTCGATACTTTTGTACTGAAGCATGGGATGTGATGACTGCCCATTGCCGCAAGCTAATCGTACATGCTTGAATCAGAAATTATTATAAAGCAGATAGTCTGAAGTACTGCTTGCTATAGAAATTGTTTTTTGTTGCACATAGCGCTCTCAGCCAGGTTTGTACCGATTTGTAAGCGCAATTTTAAGTATACTTGATTTTTTCCTAGCAGAGTAGTGTGCCCTTTAATGTAAACCTTACTGACCCTCAACCTCAATAGGTGGATGATTCAGCATTCGAGACCCGTTTATAGCGAGGTCTAGCACCCCTACCTTGTCCTAAACACATTTACTTAAATCAGATATTTTATGAAGTTAGCTTTGGCCATTATACCTGACAATAAGGACATGCAATGGCCATACGATTACAAAGAGTTGCAGATCAGCGCTGATATACCACAAATGCGGTAGACACTGGAATTAATTACATACGTTAATGAGAAAATCATAACTCTATTATTAGAAAAATCGATTAAAAAAACGATTGGTAACAAAACATACGTTAGAAACGATGTTTTTTTTTCGGATATCTCTTTTATATAGCTGAAGTAATCAATTGCAAAAATAAGCTCATATGATAAGGTATCGGAGTCTGATTGTATGACGTAACAGAATCAAACCTTTTCGCGCATGGGGCGGAAATTGTTGAGATGAATTGGAATAGCCCACCAGTTATGGGGGCAATCTAGAAATCGCTGCTTCATTATAAGTAAACTTGCAGGTCCATTGCAGGTGATTGGAAAAAGAGGCGCTAAGAGCAATAAAGCCAAAGCAGGAAGGGTTAAACGAATGTATCGTGCGATGATACCTGTAGATGTACAAACCGAATTATATAACAGAGTATAATCAAAGGTTAATCTGGCAGTATTTGGTTATAACGTGATTCTATGAGTTCCTTATTTAGTTGCTGCTTTATTCATAGGGGCCAACGTTGTTGCATCTTTTGATTACTTGTTGTTTAGCGAGCAAGTCTATTCTATTTAACTTTTCGTTAATCATGTTTCACATCTCGAGATATACTTGGCCAGGAGGTTAAGTGGCTCAAATCTATGAAGATACACGATTTGATAGGTTCCCGCCATTTTTATACACGTACCTAAGCGAACAATTTCTCTTAACCTTAATTATCTAACGACTGTCAAGCTATTCTGAACACTAATATTCTGTCTGAGGCCTCTGATAATAGCAAGCGATTCGCACGAACCGAGTATGACCGTGACGAGTCGGCGTCGGACCTTTTTTCGAGCGATCAGAATTCCAGTTACGCAAAAGAAGATCTCCACGGAGACATGCGCATTGGAAATAAGGCAAAACATCAAGCCCTTTCGCATCTCGTAGAATCGTAGAGACAAGCCTATGATGGGGAACATTTGATATAGCAGAGCATGTTATGCAATGAAGTTTAAGTAATAATAATTAAAATTTGCGTATTCTAAATTGCGGAACTCTGGTCCGCGGTTTTTTTTAGGCTACTAGGATACTAAGACAGCCACAGAACTTGTGTATCTAGGGAACCGTGTATATCTGAGAAATGTAGTGCATGTTTAAGATAGAATAATTGTTAGGTAAGTTATTAAATAATTAAAAATGAACAAACTTTATGCAATTTAAAATATAGTATACACCTAAAGTAAATGAAAAAGCTATTTACTTTCTTTCTTTATTTAATCGCTCTTCTTCTTGTGACCAATATATAAAGTGTAGTTAAGGCACAATATATAATGGCAAGTGTTACCTAGCTTTGCATTGATAATGTGGCTGCGACACACCTTTTTTCTTACTAAGTCTAGCATTCTAAAACAATGTTTGACAACAATTCGATGGTAGTACCAGGTGTACAACTTAAGACATTTAGATTTTCCATTCTTTAACAATTTGTATTGGACCGGAAAAAAACTAGCAATTTAGCCGACTCGGGGGCGATTCAGTTCAAAAGTGAGGTTCTGCTTTTGTTTATTACTTAATTTTACTTATTCTTGTGGTAAAATATTGGGTATTGTTAGTTCTTTCCTGGTTGTAGTGGGCTGTTCTAACCGTGTTGTCTAGAGTACGAAACTTCACCGTTACTTCATTCTGTATATCGGGTGCCAAAAAACATCATTTTCGATACCTACCTAATTTGAGATTCTTCTAATGCCGTAAACCTTAACAAGTAACAAGAATATTTGTTTTACATGACGAGAATTCTAAGCTAGCTAACAGTTATTCTCCTTGAAGAGTGGCGTCGGGTGATCTTCAACGAATTAGGAAGGTCAAGTGAAGTGCGTTCCTTGGATCGAAGGTTTGAACTTAACGAATCACCTCTAAGTAGTATTCTCAGGTATAGTCTTCGTCATACACGCAGGGGTAATTTTAAGTTACTTTAACAGTCTTTCGACCTAAGTGCATAACACATGAAAAAGGTTAAATACGCTGTTCGGTGCCATTCGAGCTATTCACTGCTGGAACTCCAAGTAAGGACAAACCTATGCGACAGGAAAAAAACATTAAATAGTAGCAAAAAAAGGATTTTATAACTTGATAATCTTTTTTAATCAACAGCAATGTGTGATTGTTAAAGCGGCTGTTCTGATAAATAGTCCATCCTTGCGTAATCGACTGTGCATTTTTTTAATTATATAAGATTGTATTCTCCTGTGTATACTGAAATTGCTCATTTTGCAATAAAAAAAAAAAGGTAATTAGTTTAAGCATTCTGTATTTTTACCCGTACCAGAGTACAACGTTGTACTCATACGCCCGCAACAATATGATCGAAAATTTTAGAATTGGCTCGCCTATAGCCATCTGACGCTTTAGATAAACGTTTCGTTTTCTCTTAGTTATAAGTATTTATCGAGAAAAGTTAAAGTTCTGAAATGAATATATATTTGTTGTTTTACGAGATGAAGAGAACTGACTAAAAACGTTTTACGACTCTGTCAATTTTGCTCTTTGTAGACTGACTAAGAAAATACGAAACATACTCATACCGACTATATGAGGTTCGACAATGGCATACGTATGTCCCAGAAGAACCCAGAGGGTAGCGATAGTCTTAAGAGTCGCCAATGTGAGGCAGGTTTTAATAGCTTTGGGGGCCGATATACGAAAACCCAGTAGTAATGTGAAAAGGAAAGCGAGTATTAGCCAGCAGCCGATAAGCAACAATGATGTTCGCTGGGTTGGGTGGAGCGGAGTCCAGGCGCTCTGGCACGAATCAACAGAGGCGTTAAACCAATCGTCAAATGCTGCGGTGTATATTGAAAGAAAAAGAAAAAATAGGTTAGCTTCGTCGTTCCAAAGGTAGGGCGCTCCTGGCATGCATACATAAGTAATATTGTAGCTTGTCTTTAGTTTGCTTGATCGAAGGAAGGAGGTTCCAGAGGTATGGTATGTATTGAATTTTCAATTTACGCTAGTCATGTGTGTCTTCTAAAGTTCTTGAGTGCGAAAAAAGAATGAAATGAACCTAAGGCTTTTGAAGCCAAGCTCACTGCTTTGGTATGTCCGATATTAGAATTGCAAAATCCTACCTGTTTGGTAAACAGCTCGAAGTTGTTCTGGCTGACATTCTGTTGGAGCACAGACTCCGATGAGCAATTGAGCGACGTTAAAATCAACCTAGAGTACGAAATGTCAAGCCGTTAGACATTCAGTGATTATTCCATATAGTGACTACTATATGGTGCGGCGAATCCAAGATATATATAGGCTAGAAATGTCCTTGATGTAACATATTTTGTGACACTTTCCGTATAACTGTCTATATAGCTTTTTTTCAAAATAAAATAATAAATTATTATTATTGACTGACATTCGAACGTAACGAATACGAGGCTTAGCGTCATTAAGAGCTATTAAATGTGTACATATCCTGCGCTAATGAAATTTAATTTTTCAGCGCTTTTATCAATGCAATATAATGTCGACAATTAAACAGCATCACTGATTTAACTCGAATGATCGTTTAATACCTGATGTGTATAGGTGGCGATATTTCTAATAAGACTTTGGTTTTTCGGTGTAAGTAGCATCGTGCAGTAATGGCTATCGTGAATCGGACCTCCAAGACATTGGTCAAATGAGCCGAGATCGGCTAGGTTTCCTGACGCGAAACCCGATGGAAACTTCCCGGATGCATCCATCACTCACATAAGCAGACGTCCAAACGCGTAGAAAAAGCAACAATTGTAAACGAAGTAAGAACCATGGCAATACCAATGAAAATATATGCAAATAAATTGAGACAACGCGCAAAATGAATTAACTTGATTGAACTGCCATGTCGAGTAATACTGAAGGAAGTACATCCAATATCCTTGCAATAAAGATCAAAAACTTACTCCTGAATATGTTGTTACGATTGCCGGAGAGGCTCCGTGCGCAGGAAGTGCCTTGAATGGTTGGGTTACTCACGATCGACTGTAGCATCAAATCCATTCTTGGACGGATTTGTAGAGCTTCAACACGACACAGATACTGATAACGTTTGAACAACGACCTATATCTAAATTAATTAATGATATCAAAAAGGTCCTTTGTAAAGACGTATAGTTTTCTACGCTGCCCAAACCAGTGACAAACTTCTATAGCTCTAATTCATAAATAATCGCTGCGGACAAAAGTAAAATCCATTAGAGATGACGTAAACTTCTTTTCGCTAATTACGCACTGACTGCTAGCGACGGTCGGACGCTGTAGGTCGGACGCTCAGCGAAACTTACAAATCCGATTTTCGTTTACTCAGGACGTTAATTTCCCTCCACCCTGACACCCTTTCGAGCGAATCTCTATTTAGTTAGATGAAGAAATTTGCACAGCGACCAAGAACGGATGGCAAGCGTTTCTCGGATCTAAGAAATAAAACTATCATTCGACCTCACTAACGAGGCGTATTTCGCACGTTGCCGAAGTCGTTGGCTGTAACGGCGAAATTCGTATGGATGAAGACCTTCATTACGGTTAAATCGAAAATACGCTCCTGGGTGCAGATTAGGTCAGGGTTAGGGAATCGCATTTCATACATCGTTCTATTAGCATCGTTCAATATAACCGCGGTTGAGCTTATGTCTGTGTTAACACATTTGTTGAAATATTTACGCAAGACGTTTTATTTCCTATCTTTAATGAATGTTTAGGTTGTTATTTCTGACTATGCGATATCCGAGAGGGCGTTCGACCGGTAACTCTTTGTCGATTGTTCACTCAACGAAGAATGCCGTGACCTAACACCAATGCTTGAGCTATATACCTTATTAGAAGTTGCTCTTCTTTAATGCTGGTTACGGCCGGCTCAATTTCGTATTGGGCGAATGTTGCATTTAGATCATAGGTAAGATAAGTTTGCTAGCTATAACATAGGTAAGGCCATTAACAGTGGCTCATGAAAGTAAGTGTTTGAAATAAATCATACATTTGTTCGACAAGAAATCATTCGCATTGTAAGTTTGTAGAGTAATGGGACCAAGAAAAGTTCTACTCAAAATAGAGGACGAAATCTGAAAATTTACCTTATAAAGCGTTCTATGTCTACTCATCTACCAAGCAAAATGTCGATCCGAACGTTAACACAGACTAATACAGTGACCCTACTATCGTGTAATACATATTTAGAGATATTACACGAACACGTAAACCCGCCCACTGGCAACCTATTTTTTGCTGCATGTGATACCCAGACGGAAAGTCAGAGGAATCGACAACAATTTTGAAAAACTGGCGCCCCGGTTGCCTGATAATGAAAAACCATTGTCTTCACTAACATCAAGGTAGGTCAACTAGCGATTTTGGACAATGAAAGCCACGATAAGTAATAACGACGAAATAGACCACTCAAAGTTTCAATAGTGTAAGACAAAAGTTTTGCGGTCACGTAATGGTGTAGTCACAAGTTAAAAGCTTGTTGGCAAAGTTGTAAAGCCTAGAAGTTTCGGTCACTCTTCTAAGGTACTCAGAGCTCAATAGAAACCAAATGGTCGTAACAGGTCGATCCCTAGAAAAGGTATTCCGCACCGTATTTGTGAAATTCTCACGCAAATTATTCAATAACCCGTGGCGTATTCATCTTTCAACCTGGAACATATTTCGTGACCATAAACCTTTCATCTGATGCAGCCAAGACCCAAAACACTCAATTTTTTCGTTGTCGTTTACTAAGTTTTCGTAGCCTCCAAGGGTCAGTTGGCTCATTTTAGATTAGAAATGATAGTTCAGCACTTGAAGCTGATTCACCATCATCTTTCAGCCGCAGAATTACTTTCCCAAAAGATTCACGACGTATCATTCCTGCGTATCTACCATAAAAATTCGAGTCCGCGTGATTCATGACAAATGAATGATAGGACCGAAAAATTGGCTAGTAAAGGAAAATCTTTAAACCACTTCGAAGGGGTATTATTGAATCTCATTTTAATTCATTGCTTTCAGGCGGCAAGTTCAATTTCTCACTTGGCCGCATTAGAAGAGCTCGCAAATTGTGGGCATCCAGCAAGAGAATTGACTCGTTCTTCGGTTTTCACGCCATGTTTAATTTAGCTTCTAATGGTAATGAGCAAGCTAACGAGGCACCAGCAGCAGTTCCTTGTCAGCAACAAGACCCTGCGCACGTTGTCAGATGGTAGCTCCGTATGCATCTTCCTCGCACGTCAGGTTTCATTGAGTTTGGCCTCAAACAGATTTCAGTAACATCTGCATCAATTGGCTTCACGGTGGGTACGCGAAGGTCAGTCAGAGAAAGCGCATATAGATAAGTTATGATGACGGTTGTGCGAACTTCTTTGTGTAACAGCGCTTGATTTGGTTGCCGATTCGGAACTTAAACGTATACAATTGTGGATGTAGCAACTGGTGTGAGGTAATAATAATTTATCTGTGAATAAAAGTGCCAAGGCTAAATTACTATTACGAGATTGCATATATAGCAATATGATTGTACTAGAAGATCGACATGTTTACTCGCTGATTTTTCTGAAATGCTGTTTGCTATAAGTTTTCACCTCGCCATAATTCTATGTGAAAATTTCGCCGTGTTGAAACAAAATGGCCGGTTACCACAAATAGGTGCCGCATAACGGATTGAGTAAACGATGCTGTAACGAGGTATGTACGTGAAGAACACATTCTCTTTTCATAGTTCCTATGGCAATATCTAATTAATAGATAAATACGTATCATGCAGGTTTCGTTACTGTAGCCAATAAACCTCAATGATGTCCAATGGCCCAGCTCCGAAGAGAACGAGATTTGCGGAAGATTCTCAAACTAGCGTCGATGGTAGTCTTGCTGAGCCATCGACCAATAGGGTATACATAAAAAAGGTTTGTATGGCAACTAAAACAGCGGTATCGCACTCATACATTGCTTTAGAACAGTCGTCACGAACGAACACGTCCTGTTTCCAAAGTAACATGCGATTGTCCGGCTTAAACGCGTAAACAACAGTCTTCTCCGATGTGCCTTATTAATTTACGGCGTTTCAGATCGAAATGAAAAGATTTCGCAGCTTCGCAGACACAACAATCGAGTTCCACCCCGGCATCAATCTACTGGGTAGGTAGATTAATTTTCGAATAGATAAATAAAAGTGTTTGACATAAGTGTTTATAAAGAATTGTACAGTGGAAGAAGAACAGTAGATTAATCAGTCGTGCTTGCATCGGCAGAATGGGCAACGTTTCTATTTTTAGGTGAAGTCTTTTTGAATTCATACGATTCGTATATACAGACTGGTTAGACAGATCAACGCGATAGACGCGGGCAGGTCAATACAACTGTTAGTTTTGCTGCACATGTAATTATACGGTCACGTTATTATTTGGACGCTGAACAATTTACAAAATGAGTAGAAGTTGTTTATTGAAGACCCAGCTGTTCACTGTGTGGGTTTTCAGTTGGGCAGAACGGCTCGGGAAAGAGCAGCATTATCAAAGGTAAGATCAAACGCTTAAAATTACTCAAAATTTATTCAACGTAAATTATCTCACTAATCCAAACTAGCCACGGGCTACGTTTATATGTTTCGCTATGGGTTTACTTTTGTAAACCACTAATTAGCTTTTCCTGCTTATTTAGGATCAGCGTAAGCTAAGATGTGGTACATACATACAGCTGTTCTCAGTTTATGTCATCGACCGAGTTCTATTTAAATACGACGTATTTTACCTTTTAGCTACGAAGTTATGAGTCGCCCATATGAGCTAGCCAGTCAACCATAGGTGATATTTTTCTACAAATCCGATATAATTTACTAGGCTCATTTACTCAATATAGGGCTGTTGCATCGAGCTCGCACGATCCGCACATTACGGGCATCACATTTCTTCGTATTAGAGTTCAGCTGAGTAGATGTTTCTATTTAAGTTATACCCTAGAGCATGGTTCAGACGTACTTCAGTGATCCGGTAAGTTTAGTGTGTAAGCGCAAGGTAACCGATATTAATAACATTAAAACTTTGATTGCAACTGTGGATTTACGTTTGCGGAAACATGCGTCCCTCACAGCCGTGGAACTTTGCTTGGCCGCTATACAGACATCGTATAAAAAGTCAGCTCTTTCTAATGCCCGAACGACGTTCTTGTCGCCAATTGTTACTTCAGGGAAGCAGCAACAACCGACCGTGCTTAAGGTACCTAGCACTTCTATGTTCAAATTATAATAGTTTTATTATGTCAAGCTACCTAGAGTCGTGTTTTCTCATACGGCAATTTTGCAGGCAGGTGTCAATAAAGAGGTCAGTGTTAAAGATTGTATAAAAAAATTCGATAGAGTAACGTCCACTTCGCAAATGTCTTTTGCGTAAGCCAATCATTGGGTTCCTGTTAGACGCTTAACTAGATAATTCGCCAATTGGTCCACAGGTGTAGCTGGGAGTAGAGCGTGGAACAATTAGTACACCATAGAATATGACAACAAATGAAAATAATCACCCAAAAAGGGTATCTTGCATTGGTTACGTATGGGAGCTTCTTTACTGTTAGGTGTCGGAGTCAGATGGCCCCGTGCTAGTGCAGGCGTGACGCTTACTATACCGAGGGAAAAAAAAGAAAAATGTTTGAAATCAGCCGCTTAGCTTCGCGCCAGGGGCCAGACGTCCGAAGCAATCCTTAACGGCAAACTGATGCCACCAAATGCATTGATATCGCATGGGCAGTCCCATTTGACATACCGGGCTGACCATTTTGAGTAAACTTTCGTCGTTCGATTTTTCACAATAGATCGTTCTCGGTGACGTAAACACACAACAGTCTCCGGGCTCTGCAGAACTTGGAGAGCACCATATTCGCGTTGAAGCTCACTTTAACCGAGACTCGACCCAGTTGCAAATCCTCTACAATATTGATGGCCAAAACGTCACATTCGCGCAGCTGCACGAAAGGCTGCGATCTATCGGCGTCACAACGAAAAGCGTTCAGTTCATTCGGCAAAATCAGGTGTTGATATAAGCATCTTTTAAGAGCCTAATGAAAGTAAATTCACTGTTGTACGGTAATATAAATTAGAACTAGAGTGTTATCGGTCGTGTCGGTAGACGCCGACAGGTACACATTTATCTGATGGTTCTGTTTTGTAATAAAAAAAAAGTTGGTTCACGCACGCGTATTATAACTAAATGATAGCGACTTTAATGGTGGTTCCTTCACAGCCATTTTCATCAGACGAGTTTGAGAGCGGCACCCTTATGAAACAGTTGAGCAATCTGGTCGACGCTGCTGTTTGGAAGCACTGGCAAAAATGGGCCGAACACATCCGAGAATCTGGGGCAGAGGCGGTCACTAAGGCCGCGCAGGACATTGACAGAGCGGAGGCCATCTTGGTAGGACGTTTCCTGAATGATGTTTCGCTAAAGTGTTATCGCTTTAAGAGCTGTCTGTTGAACTAAATGCCTGTTGAATTGACTAGACTGCTTTCTCGAAGCAATTTATTGTACCTCAAAAGTTGTTTGCAGTAGCAATTTCTTGTCAAATGAAGGTTCGTTTACTTTCTTCATCCTAATTTCTGTCCATAAATCAGCTGTCTTAAAGTGTAAAGGACATTGGCGGGTCTTCTTGCGTTTACTTACCATGTAGTGTGCTAGACAATTAGGTTAGACAGTATGGCCCTTTTGATTGCTATAGAAGATTTCGGAGAGGAAAACAATCGTAAATAGGTAATCGCAATCCTTATTCATCGAAACGTACATATTTCCTACAGAAACAACTCAAGGATGCAAGCACACTGCAAGCGAAGTATTTAGCACTCAAGAAACAGAAGCGGAAATTGGAACTTCAGCTTAATGGAGATGAGCTGCGGGCGCTCAAGAGTCAAATCGTTAAGCTTGAGCTTGATCTATCACAAGTTTCCAAATCTTACTGGCCGATCGCAACCTCGTTAGAAGAAATCTTAAGTACACGCAAGGTATCTCTGCACGTGACCATCCTTCGTTGTGCGCTGTCGATATATCCTGTCCATTGTTCGAGATCTGCGTTTGTGTGCGAAATGTGTGCCTATGTTTGTTATTGAACTAGTAGTACTCGCAGCTATATCACTAGAACAAGGTAGAACGTGACGAGATCATTTATAGACATTCGGACGGAACATTTTTGAAGAAATCGGATTTTTTTTACAGAGTATCAGTAGGTGTTCGCATTTTTCGATAGTTAATATGATAATCGATCTACCAGATCGACTGATACGGGACACAGCCACAGCGGAAATATCGGGACGGCTACGTAACGTTCCTCTGTCTTTGAACAGCCAACAATCGTATACAAACAATGAATTTTGATACACTGAGTGCGTTGTCATGCGAATGAATCGGCAACACGCCGGCGTTTGTTGTTAGCGTTCGAGAATCTTCCTCCTCTATTACAGAGAAACGATAATAACAACAACAACACTCACGTGCGTAACTAGTGTCAACGTTTAGGTTGCCTATGAATTTATCTAGTCATTAACAGGTTGAGTATAATTTGCCGATTAAGTAGTCTGTTCAATTTCAGGCGCTCCAGTCGCAGCTGAGCTCCGCTAGACTCTACGGGGCAGAGGGCGCTTTCATACGGAAGCAGTTGGTCATCTTGCAAAATCAGCTAAACACGCTTAATAACGACCTGAACAGCAAACAAACCTACGTGAAAAAACTGCGCGTTGACGTTTTCAAATGCCAATCGACGGAGAGCAAAATCCGTACGTTCATTTATGTGACGATGTTTCATGCTATTGATATCCTATGATAGGCTGCGAAGCACTTTCTCTATCCAAAAGCTAGCATAAATAGCAAATGGCGAGACGATGAAGCGCATTATGTCGAAAATGATCGTGCTTCATAGAGCTGATTTTTATAGTTCGATGATTCACATAAATTTGGTCTAAGGTCTCCCATAGGTCAACTTGCTTTCTTATCGTTCACAAGTCAGATTGGTTTACGTATTGAAAAATGATCGTGAGGATTTTAAAACGGAAGTCACACTTATAATGCAGCTCTATCAAGGACAATCAGGTCGTTCGAAGCGAGCGTCGGCATTAGCAGAGTCGACGGTGGATACTGACATACCAAACAAGTTAACCATGCCACGACGAAAACCGTAACCTTGTTCAATGGTTCTACTCATCTAGGTTCACTAGAGACCCAGATTAGCGAATCTGCGGATTCGTTACAGCAGATGGCGTCAAGGATCAAAGATCTCGAAGACGAGATAGGTACGAAAGCTGCTAGGAAAGATGCGTTGATCCGGGTACTGACTGCAAGGTTAGCATCCTACACACCCCTCTTGCTACAAATGGGGATCGTAATAAGATCAGATATCAGCGAAAAATTAAATCAAATATAATTTGATTAAGTGGTGTTCTACTAGAAATGCAGTGCTTCGTTTCGCTTTATTTATCAAAATGAACTCCTGCTATACACAAGTGCATGTAGTAGAGAAAAGGTTCTCGAAGGAAAAACCCAGCCCCTTACTCTAGTATAAAGAACACCAAAGAGGTATCGTAGCACAGAGGTCAAATCATGCAATAATTTGAAAGCGATTTGACGGGGGCTTTGAATATATTGATATATTGCTAATACTTTATATACGTTCTGCTCTGTTCTAACCGACAGAACCCACGGAGAACAAGGTGTGCTTGACAGTATGGAGGATGCACGTATCACTAGAGAAACGCAAACTTTAAAAATGATGATACCCAAGTATAAAAGTAAAATGAATATGCTAAAGGCATCCAAACACGACAAGGAAAGAACAATTAAGGTATGAAAAAAATTGAAATGAATAATCTTATTCAGAGTGTATTATTTATATGTACATTTTAGAGTGAAGGGAATATATATATATATATATATATATGAAGAAGTCGAAGGTAATTTAGGTGCACTTCTTACGCGTCCAATGATAGGGCTCATCGAACACACAGATGTGTCGAGAGACACGTCAAGGCTTCTCCAATACATGCTATCGCCCTAATTCGAGATGGTTCTTCGAGTGTCTCAAAAGGGAAAACACTATATAACAATAGTGCCATTGTTCCTAATTAACCAGTAGGCTCAAATTCATTAAACCAAAGGAACTCGCTATAAATGAAAAAATGCCGTGACAAAAAACGTACGATTAAAGTAGTACTTTGTCTAACCTATAATTGTGTTTTCGGTATTATTAGGAATTAGGTGAAAAATTAAAAACGGTTCAGGATCAACTCAGGGCGCATAGCTCGGCAGAGGACGACCTACAGGACAGGCGAAATCTTTTACTCAACGAAAATCAACTAATTATTTCGGAGATTATCAAAATATCCAATAACAGGTCCACAAGTTTTTGCACTGCTTTGAAATTACTCATCGCTAAATGTTTAAACATCCGTTTTTCAATGAAAGATGCAGTATGCAATACACATGTATCTAGATGTGGGCTACCCTTTAGTTAAGCACACATTTGCTGACTGCCTGCCTTTGTCGTACGCTTACTTGAAATGTATACATGTTTTTTTTTTTTTATTTTATTTATGTATTTACGTAAGGCTACAAACACTGGGTCAAAGCCCACTAAACCGTAATTCCGTTTCATCGGACGTGTTAATGATTTATTTGTAAGGATTCAAGTGCGGTTTTTTGTTAGTTGTTACCTTGTCGATGCGACACATCGGTATGAAGTTTACATATGTATATATAAACGGTATAAAGTACGTCGGTGCCAATTGAATTGCTAGTATCAGCAGGAAATTCATAATGGCTTGGACATATTACAGCTCATCTTTCGAACTTGAAAGTGCACGCGAGCAACTTGCTGCGGCTATGGGGCCCTTGGCCAACGTATACTTCCGAATTCCCGATATTTATGAACGTCTTCGTCACTACAAAGATTTCGACGGTTTCTGCGGATGCATCTTGGATCTTATTCACGTAGATGAAGCATATCGAGTTGCTGTCCGCGCAGCTGAGGAATTGTAAGTCTGTCTTTTTGTTGAGTAATTCCTAGGCTAACGTCAGGAGGTGTTTTTTCCTACACAGACAAATGGAGCAGAACGGAAGAATCCCGTCGGGAATAAGGCAAATATGAAAGCCTTCGCTTGCTCCTTCAGTGACTATGCATCCCTCAACCCGAGTCTGCCATTTCAATTACATCCTAAAAAAGAAGAAATTAAAGCTGTCGACGAAATAGAATTGTACTCAGTTTTAACGCGCAGAAATAGACCATATTGGAATACAAGCAACACAGCAAGCAATTCAAAGAACGTTTATGCAGATATTTTTTTCAGTCCTTTTACGGCTTTTCCTGCCGTACTCGGCAGTCGGTTCTTGAGTTTGAAAATGCCATATATGAGATAATATTAGACCATCAGATGATCAAAATCGTGTTTTTTTTTTTCGATTTGCGTTCGACCTCCTGGTGATACATAGCTCAGGTCTATATTCTGCATTATTGCTTTATATGGATTAGATACTTGAGAATCTCAACCGAGACGGCCATGATGTGATTTATTAATGTACGTCAACGTTTAAAGGTCAAACCATATATGATCAAAAGGAAGCGTGATTTCTTATTCAGCTGCGGTTTACCCTGTCGTTTTCTGCAGCCTATACTCTTTTGTGGTCCCGAACCTTGAGATAGCAGACCTCTTCGCAAAGGTGCTGGTTGAGCTTCAGCTGAATGATGAATCTATACGCGTGATCGTTCTTGACAACTACAACTATAAACGAGCTGAAGAGTCTACAGCTGGTCCCCCAGGGGCTACACCTTTAGAAGATTATGTTGCTCTAGATGTAAGTACACGGGCTGTATTCAAATCAAGTAACTAATATGCAGGATTATATTAAAGGTGTCTTGCATCGAACCATCTACCGAAAGATAAGCAATTTGAAAAAAACCTTTTACACAGAATCGGTTAAGGTCGAACAATTGTTGTAGGTAAGTGACTAGGATAGAATTAGGATATTAGTTCATTTGTCGACATAACATAGATGATCCATTACGGTAGAGGTCCCATAAAAAAACTTTTTTTAACAGTTTTAACTTTTTATGCAATCACCTGATTTGAAACTGTGTCGGCTAAGATTATTATTATTTAGTGGAACCGTCATCAAGCGATGTTTAACGGCAGTAAATGACACAACATCTGAAACACTTTTTTTGAGGAGACCTCCATGAAAAATTGTATAGAATAGTTACCTTCAGTCTATTCGTACTTCAGGCTGGGCTGAATTTAATCGAATGGCAGTGCAGCAGATGAAAAGGGCATAAGTTAACAGTCAACTGGAAAGTACGGCCCTAAACGATGTGTAGGTACCTTTGTAAAATGGAAAATATCACAATGTATTTTAGCCGCGTACAACACAAGGCTTTAACGTGAATTCACTACCTCATTTTTTCGTATCAGGACCGTGACGAGTTCAGGAAAAGTCCCAAGCTGAGGTCGCAGATATTCCAGATTATAGCGGCTGAACTGCGTAACTTTTGGTTGTTGGGCTCAGAAACCTACGAATTAGAAAATATTGAAGACACTCTGCAGCTTTTCGACGACAGGCGATTTTCGAAACTAACATTTGTCAGTCCCACCGGTGAGTGTATACATAACGGGAACTCTCTTCACTTTAGGTTCTTTTAGCGAGGAGTTCACGTCACTAAGAATAAACAAATTTTGTCATTTTCGTAGGAGACATCATAACTCGACATGGGGTTACGGCTCGTACCTGCTCGCCATATCACGATATCATTTCGATATACGAGAAGTTCAAGCGGCTCAGCCGTACTGAGCATGCACCTAATCAAAGGATTGCCATCTACAAGAAGAATGAACGGAAAATCTGTGAAAAACTAGCCAATAATCAGTCGGCCTTGGCTACGGAAAGAGGAGTCATCGCTGAATTAAGGTTTGTATTGTATATTCATTAGCGAAATAGGTGACGAAGTTTTGGCCCGTACGAGCCATCGGTGTTACTCCACATTTAGTCAAAAAGTGTGGCGCTGTTTTGGGTTGGTAGTGACTGATGGGCCACAGTATAGTTTCTTGATACAATATAACCACGGTTATATTGTATCAAGAATTTAAGTTCGTTTTTGATTATAGCCGCACAACAGATCACCTTGCTATGTCTTCTGTAACTAAATTGCCAAAAAAAAAGGTGGGGCAATCGTAGAATCAATATGCAAGTTACTTTTTTGCTTCATAATTGTGACACGACGCGTTCACTGTCAAGATTAAGGTGTGCCTAATAATAACAGCCGCTAATACGGCCCAAGGCCGATGTAACACGGTGTGCAACCAGTTGTGGAAAGAATCGGCCTTTGCAACATGACGATACGTTCCGTTCAAATGTCAAATATTGATAGAAGATCTATTGATGCTAACTGAGGCGTCGTTGTTGTTGTTCGCCGTGTAAACATTATGCATGCCATTATATTAGCAATGAATAGCTTCTTCTTCTTCTTCTTCTTCTAGCTATGAGCACGTGAATGTTCTTCACCGGAAAGTCATGCTGGAAAAAATGCTGATCATAGACGAACATATAATGAAGATATACGGTGACCGTTATGAAAGGGCTGAAAAGGAATTGCAGATGAGGAATTACTATGTGAACGAGGTCAGTCGTCTTGCGAAGGAGGACGAGCAATACTCGGAAGACGAACTCCGAACCGAGCTCAAAGACATTGCGGAAGAACTCCACCAGTTGAACGCCGAGCTGACTTCCTTTATGGAACAGGTATTAGTCATGGTTCAGAGCTTCTGAGTATTATAAAAGCTGTCACGAATCAAATGCTGCCTCAGTATGATATAATTGGATATGACGGCAGTAGCGGAATTAGCCATTTGTCTCGAAATTTCCTTAAAATACATATACATAACACTTGTATATATGATATGATAAAGAAGCTTCCGGGCGGTGATTGCTGTTTGAGCCTGACAGGTTGTATGCCGCTTTGAAAGCATGCCAAAGAAGCAGACGTTCATATTCAGAAACTTGCGTAGTATGATGTACGGTTGGAATAATCTGTTGTTTTCTATGCTTCAGCATGGTAACACTCAAGTGGAGCATGCGGCACTGCAATCTGAGAGAATTGGACTTCAGGAACAATTATTGCGTCAGTACGATGACTGGGCGATATATCAAGACAGTTTGATCGGGGAAGCCGCTTCTCGGATCACATGCATAAAGCGCCACATAGCTGAGACTAATCGTAGGCTTGCCGGTTACGAGACCCGGCTAGCCGACCTCTCATCGCGTATCCCCGACACGATCGACGCCGAGAATAAGCTTACACAGGCTATCGAGACGGGGGACATTCATACAAGCAGTGTAGGAATGATCGAAGATCAGATGACAGCCATGCGTGCCAGGCTAACTAATCTAAGGGGTCGGTACAATTACTTAGGTGGAAACCCAGATGATACAGCAAGTGACGACGTAAGCAAGGAGAACGACGAAGAGGTCGTTGCTACAGAAGAAGAAATGCGAACCCAGCTAAAAGACCTGTGCGAACAACTTTTAGAATTTCCGGCTGAGTCATTTTTGCTGGATGAGACGATGGCTGACAAACTCGCTGATCAGCTAGAGAAATATCGAAACTTCTACGATGCTTTGAGATATGTTGTTGAGACAGGCCTGGACATGGTTGAGACTAATTTCATTCAGTTACGACGAGCAGTTGAGCGTTCGGCGCTTTCTGATATCGGCGAGCAGATGCAAAAGGTGTTTTCGTCAATTGTACCGCAGGGTCAAGTCACGTGGATACCGGTCTATTCTAGTCAGGTAATTTACACGCTAGCGATAGTCACGACATGGACCTTACTGTGCATGCTGGAAGAACTGGTAGAACTATGTATTGTGTAGTTACCTTCGTTTTGTCGCAGCACCATACGTCGGAACCCAACAAGCAGGATAGGCGATTACACAAACTAGTATCGATCTGTGCGCTGTTTAAATGTCCGTTACACATTTTTAAAGCGCTGGCTTTTCACTGTATCCAGGTGGATGAGGTGCCCTCGCTGTTCCTAATGGAAAACCTCAGATTCACTTCTAAATGCAACACCGTCTTACTCCTAATACTAGGCAATTATAACAGTCATGTCAGCCGTGTCGTTTTTCTCCTATGTACTCAATCTTCCTTCGTTGCACCAATCTTCTATACGTAGATTTTGTATGGCGCCTCGATACCCTTATCAACAGAACACGCAATAGGGATCGTACCTGCCGCGCGCAGGTCTGTTGTTCGTAATTCGTAGCGCTTATCTATACGAACTATCGGCCAAAAACAGTACTTTTTGCCCTTGCCACCGTCTGCCTGTCCTTTGTTTAATACACTAATTTCTTTTTGTAGTATGTATGTTCCCTATATGCTGAGCTGTACGTTCGTTTGCCTTTCCACCCGTCCATCGATTATACTCCATTTCACATCTCACAATGCTGAGTTTTCCCTTTTTATGTCTACTGTAACCGGGATACCTAAACAATTGTTTCAAACATATAGCATTGGCGATTCTTTGTAGCTATCTTTGCGAATTTCGTCATTCTATAGCATACACGTTGATCTACCATCTAGCTTATTGAGCGTCGACTTTTCTAACAACTGATTTGCAAAAATATCTTTCTATATAAGTCCTGTATTTTGACCTTCAGAAGTCCCAAAGGCCAGAGCTTGTGAGCTTGGATCCCTGCGGATTGCTTAGACAAATGCTCGCCAGACCTGCGACGAGCTAATCTGCTCTATCTTGTTTAGCGACTAAAAAATTGTCACTGTAAAAAAGGAATAGGTAAACGAATGAAACTATCTTACGAATTTCGGCTATGGTAGTGGTAAAAAATCCGCATCATGTTTAATTGGAAGAGATTTTCCTTCATGTCCTTGTAGATCCACTCTGTTGTACCAGAACCGTTGATTGACTTGCTTAGTGTCGCATTTGTAGGTTATACTACGTATCAGAAATGCTGAATGCAACAAATTCTATCTGTTTCCTATGGTAGGGCCTGGCAAGGCTTGACAAGCCAATATTTATTTTCAAACGAACGTCCTAAACCTTGAGCTATTTTTGATGTAACTTCGCCACCTCTCGTAACGCTTCGTTTGCCAGCTATTTTATATGATAAACCAAGGTAATATGCAATGCGTTTAGTGTTTGACGATTTGTATCTATTTTTGGCCGATAAAAATTAAGAAGAAGATAGGAAGACGCGCTGGAAGTACTTCTTGTGGACAGTTATCTCTTCTTATAAATAAAATAAAGACGAGTAGTACAAAGTAAAAATATTTTCAAAGGAAATTCGAGGCTGGTAGATTATTATAGGATTCAGTTTTTTATCATTTGCATGAAACACAGGCAATCGAAAACACGTTACTCCTATAAGCCGATATTTGTGAAAGCACCTCTTCCGTTCAACAGCAGCTATTCAAGTGAAGTCAAATAGGCAAGATATATAATTTAAGATATGCAATAGAAAACGTCGTGTCAACGGGAAACTAACCTGCATACCGTACCACCTATCAGTCCTATAAGTTTAGGAAAGATCTTTACGAATTTCAGAAAACTATATATGTTTTTGGTTAAGCTAACTATGAAATTTAATTCTACCAGTAACGCTAGTCTATAGACATCGTCATTGCTACCTCTAGCAGATCTGGCTTTACCAATCGTTCATTCTAGCAACATTTATTGTCCTCCGGTTAATGTTTGAAGCTTTGGAAATATAGCATTGTCCTTGCACGGTGTTCTTCGTGCTCCTTGCCGATAGGCCCAATTAAATATGTGTACATTTGTACGTATGGGTGATCAAGTGTAAATATAATATTTCAATTTGTTTTGTGTTTTCAAGGGCGAAGGAGATCAAAGTGAGAACGAAAGTGATTTGGTGTCATTAGAGGTTAAGGCCAGGTTTGGACCAACTGAGCCGCTTCGTGGTATTGACATGTTTTCAGGTATGACACGGACATTGGTTCCCGTTTTCGGCAGAATATGTTGTATATTGGCATATTGCCGGAGAACATTATCAACTGTCCTGGACGGAAGGGCGCTCATTGAGGTATCGCGCATCCGTTCGTACTATGACTTTCGATGTTGCTTATCACCATGAGCCTCACATGTTAGGCCAACTATACGAAGCCAGCCATCTAACACAAGCTCTCCAATGGAACGTCGTAGACTAAGAACTTATCGTTGTTATTATGAGAGCATTAAATTGTCATTTCAATGCAACGCCCATATTCGATCACACATAGAGTTGATGATGTTGCTTTCGCAGCGAAGAGTACAAAATCACCGGCACGTTTTTTCCTAGAAAAAAAACACTCCACCGCATCTGTAAACGAGCTTGTTCAATGACACTAATCTGAACAGAAGACAGGTTATAAAGGGGCCTGGACGAGGTCGTCCACTCGTAGAAGGAGGAATTACACTCTTAAAATGTTTCCAGAACTGAATCGTACGCAATATATATGATGCAATGATACTTTTTTACTGGTAGAGGACAGTGATCATCCGTCATATGATTTTTAACAACACCATTATCAATTATTTTCTATATCGAAACGTTTTAGGGGGTCAACGTGCGATAATGTCATTGGTTTTAGCGACGGCCGGAAGCTGCATTTGTCAACAGCAAATTCTACTTCTTGACGAAGTCGATGCATCCCTTGACGAGCTACATTGTACGAGACTTGCAGGTTTGTTGACAGATGATTACGTACATAGAAGAACATATGTCGGTGGGTTACATGCACAAAGTACAATAACAATTTATAGTTGACAAATAGTCGTCAAACAACGTAGGCCTATTTCTTTCCCAGTTATTTTAGGCTTGCTTGAATTTATCATTTCTAAGTCCTAAAGGCTCACAGGACGGTTGCGACATAGAATAAAATTTCGTGTTCATCAACAGTTTTGTACGCTTCAGGTCGATTCGTTAAGTGTTTGCTAATAAGAGCTAGTGAAAAGTCTTTACCGTCTTGTTTAAATGAAGACCATGTATGTATATATATTATATAATAATACGTATGGATACCTAGGCGTTTACTGTGGCATGTAGGCGGGTCGGCCTGATATGGGCATTAATAAAACATAATACCTGTCACATTGCTTTGTTCATCTAACGTACGTTCTAGAGCTCCTCAAGGACATATCAACCCGAACTCAGGTGGTTCTTATCAGTCACCGATTCGATTCGGATAAGGCCTCCTTTGTTGACCAAGTGCACAAGGTCGTTCGCTACGATGGGGTAAGAATAGTGGCTAGCTTGATGAAAGCTATATATAGATCTATAAACTGTTTTCGTCGACTCGTCATGACAGTTCTTTAAGGCATAAACAATTTAGCGCGTTTATATGTAAAGGGATTTGGACAACTGCAATCTAACACATCATGAAATCTCGAGGAAGATGGTACGCCGCTTCGTGCCATTCGATTTTGTAGTCTGCTTGTCCTATTTTGGGTTAGGAAGTTTTTTGCTTACGCGTAGAGCTGGGTCAGACCTTTTGAAACGTTTGCCGAAGCTGGTTTGAAAAATTGCCACTACGCTGGCGGGTATTCGGGCTTCCAGTATAGCTGGAAGGCTATTACCCACTTTCACTAGTAGAGTAAATGAAAAAAAAGCTATCTACATCTAGAATCGCATAGTCGTAGGTCTTTTGCAAGCTATGCTCGCGAGGCAAACATAGGCTTCGTCAACCGGTTCCTCACGTGTAAGCTAATAACGTTCTGGCACCTGAAGATATGCTAATACGTTATGAAGCAGTAATGATCCGATAAATTGGTGATAATATATCATAATGTTTGTGTTTGTAAATTCCGCTTTCCTCCGGATGTCCAATTGCCTGACCACCCTCTAGCAAAATCTTATTGTTTTTATTCTTGTTTCAGACTACGTTTGTCGAACCCGTAATAAGCGTTTGAAGTTGTTAGATCTTGTATCCCGCTTACGCTGACTTCGCAAAGCTGTTATAGTTTTCAGTGTAAGTCATCTTATTTGTCGTTGTATTATTTTATATAAATTAATCATATGTCTAGTTTAATAATAAGCGTGTATTAGACGTACAGCTTTAAGCATACGTCAACAGACAATCCCCAATAGTGTTAGGGGGGTTCGTAGAATTGCGATTGTAAGTGAGCTTTCGTAATGGTAACCGCCGAGTTTTGTTGAAACAGCATTTGCGTATATGGAACTGTAGCGCATTTGCTCAGTACGCAATTCATCATGCCATTGTTAAATAATCTATGAAATGAGACATTAGTATAGGAACCCTTGCTTTCATATTAATGAACAGATGATAACTAAAAAGAAGACTAGATTTCGTGGATCGAACGATCAATGCGAAATCATTGAACGAGTGAGAACGAGCAGAAGCATCTTGTGCGTGTAGCTTCATTATAAGGTAGCAATAATAATAATAATAATAATAACAGGTCGTCTCAGACGCCACGTTTCCTGATATGCTTTACAACCTTGTTTGTTTGGCAACCGTGGTAGATGATTGTGGTTGACTTTTATTGTGTTTACGACAAAATGTAAATAAAATGAAGATGAGTGATACCAAAGCAATCATTAGAATCAACCTTGTAGTCATTCAATACATATATATTTACGCATCGAGAAACCGCATTTTGTACAACAATGTAACGTAGGAAATCCTCTTCAAATAAGCTATAGTCCACATAAGAAACGAAATATGGCTACGTCCGGACGAAGTTGATATTACTATCAACTCATACGCTACATTTGCCGCAGAAAAAACATCTGCTCTATGTTATAGCAACGCCGTACATTATACCAAGCAAGTATACGTATGTTAGATACGTTTTATGTATCGAACCATCCAATGACGCGGCCAAAAAGACTACACGAGAGAAATTCTAAATGAGCTGTATGGTATTTTATTAAGGAAATATTCAGTTTCGTTACCGCAGCCGATCTATCGTTCCATGGGCAAAGACTTTTGTGTTCGACGATGTTGATAGTTCATCGAAGAGCTTTTTCGATTGGTTCCCCCACTGAGGGACCAGCGTTCGTAAACCCATCATGATCTCATCTCACGACAAAGTGAAACGTTACGCTCCTTGCAACGTATTAACGTGTCATGGCTAAACACAATGAACTCGATTGAATCAATCCAATATTTGAATCTGAATTTTATCTAATTGCTTCTGAAGGCTAGCTCTACAGCCGTCCATTACCCAATCAGCTAGGCGCTGCCGGAAAGCATAGCTTAGGAAATTTGCGATTATTTCTGTGGCTGGGTCACCACTGCCTAGCCCTGGAAGGTGAGAAACGAAATGAGAAAATTCTGATCTATTACATATATGACGTATTAATCGAATACGGAACCGATAACCGCCTGAAAAGGATAACAGCTAACACACCTGAGACCTTCGTGTCAATCTGGCCGATGCTATGCACCTTGAGCGAACGTAGAGCAAACTTGGCGCGTCTTCGAAGACGCAAACTTAATCTGAAACCCGTTGTCAATGTTCGTTACCCAAATAGGTCTATTTCGCAGAGTTATCCAGTCCACATTTGGGCGATATACCCAGTGGTAATGTTTACTTCCACTTACTAGTGTATCAGATGGTATGATACCGCCTGCGAGATTGCAAACAATATTTGGTACATGTGCTAGTTCATTCATTCTAAGTCTGAAAGGGAAAACAGCTTTCGAACGAGACGGACCAACACAAGTTTGTCCGCATCGCAAGCGAAGTGAGGATTTGGCCGTTGCAAAACACGAAAGTGACTAAAGATTATGTCCACTAAATAATATCAGGTTCAATAGGAACAGCTAACCTGTGTGTGTAGGTCGCGACTATACCATCAAGGCGGTACCATTTAATATATATTTTATTATATTATATAAGTTTATATATTTTAAAGTGTTGTAGAGTAGTTTCGGCTGTTCAGGGCTGGCTCGGATGAAGTGAAATGAAAGGCTTGTACTTCACATCGGTTCTTCACATACCGATCATAAACGAGATCATTCCCGAACGAGATGTTCCAATATCCTCTTAAAAAAATATTAGCTCATTGCGTGAGTACTCACTCCGTTTGAATGGCGATGTCGTTCACGGTGATCTCAGCTGATCCTGATGGACCAACGCCCATCATATGCGCGTACCAATCGTAGCTACCTGCCATATTGTGCAAAAGAACTAAGTGAAATGTACAATTATGCACTACCACCCGTTTTAAGCTTATTCGTGACACATTGAGAAGTAGTACCATGTACATATAATATGCAGGCACACACGCGCGACTACATACCATGTCGAGTTTGATATTTAAGGTTAATTGCTTTATATATATATATATATATATATAAATATAATATACATATTCGCGTTTATATGCGCGCGTGTGGGTTAAATAGAGTCAATCTGTGTGTAAATGTTCATTGCAATAGTCACCTATGAGTCGATCGAAACCGAAGTGAACTATGAGGGAAAGCGTTCTATTAGCGTACATTGCTAGAACGTCTCCTGTTCTTCGCATCGAAGATAACCCACTGAGAACACCTCGAATTAAACGCATCTCACTGAAAAAAAGTTACTAATATGGCTGTACGATACGTACGCGGAACCGTTCCAGCGTTGAAATAAACTGCTCTATTTATCATCAAGTTGCAATCTACCGTTAACGGGTTCCAGACGCAATCTACTGAGTAAGCTTCGTTGATGTTGAGGGATTACATTGTTGCTGTACAATAAAGGACCTTCGATATTATGTTTTCGGTAAAATTTTTTAAGAAGACTCTTATTGCTTAGTCTGAGCTTAGGTTGATTCTGATGTAGCAAAACGAAAACGTGTGCTTTCAGTTTACCTTTGGAACGACATCAAAATAAGATCTTGTTTCATCCGATTGGTGAATGGCGGTAACTGAAAGCAAAAATAATACCTGGCGTGTTACCAGAATAGTCAGATTATTTAGTAGAAGAAGCTGGCGCAGCGATGGCGAGCATAGCGCACACATTTTAACGCAGCCATACGTATCATTTTCCATAATAAAACACGCTCCTATCGAATAAAGAGTCCAGGAAAAATGTCTCGTGAAGAAGCATTGCTAGACTCGGAGATGTGTAACGTCGATCGGTTCATCTACCTTAAGGGGTTCATTTTTGCCGGCCCGAATATGCTCGTTTGTCTTGGCAAGAAGAGTGTCAATCATTCTTTCATCCTGTTGGTAGTCAAGCGGTATCTTTACGTTTTCAAGCTCGGCATTAGCGCGCTGTTTGAAACCAGAACGGAAATCTTCTAATAGGCCGTCTTTGATGTTCTCGAAGATGACCTCCGAACACAGGTTGATAAGGGATCCACCCCATGACGGAAGGCCGAAAAGATGAAGATCAATTGTGTATGCCTAAAAGTCATGACATTTGCGTTAAAGTAGAGGAACCTTCTACCGCACGAGCCGATTACAAACTAATTGCTTTTCCATGCGTTCTATAGCTACTAGTCAAGCTAGGGTGTTGAATTCTGCTTACTGTTTCATACCAGGCTACTCGAGTACTCCTCGTGCATCTCGTTTCGATGTCCGTGTTGTACACTTTGAAATTTTCTACATTTGGATTTGTAGAGCAAATGAACAACCTTAAATCGCCAATTTTGCTATCGGACCGCATCGCCAACAAGTTTCCGCCGTACATAATTCGTATCTATTGTTGTTATTATCTTCTATGTTCTACTCTAGTACATAGATTTTAGACAGGCAAAAATTTCACCAAGATACAAAAATAAACCTTACCTGCAACGTAGCATTGACGTCGATTATTTCCAGTGTTCCCTGGGATGTCTGTGCAAAGTATGCCTCGGCGCAAAATTGCAAGTCGCTTATGTTTAGTAGAAGTTTGTCAGCTCCTTCTAATGCCCACATTGCGACGTTTGCCGACATATTGTAGTTCCCTGTAACTTCCACCAGCGGAATCGATGCTTCAACTCGAACGTTCTGCCCGGACATGTTCGCTACCACCTGTAATGATTTGTTTCCATTTGGGTATTACGACTGCAATGATCGCCCATCTAAGTGATGTCAGGAAATTCAATTCGGGTAGTCTATAGCTGTCAAGATAGCTAAACTTTGCAACAGCTTGTTCCACTACCTTTTAAATATACATGGTCAACTTGATTGCCTTTGAAAATAATGTATTTATGCCATGTCTAGTAGACATTGGGTTATAGTGTTTCAGTCCCGTATCCGGTTCGAGTTCTGTACCCGTGGCACAGTGCTTCAAAAAAATCTTCTCGAGTTTGCTTCTTTACAATCAGGTTTACAATGTAGCAGCGCGTTACACAAGAATGCATTGAAGAACTTCATTAACCTTATCAAGTTCAACAGCTCGCAGCCCCCTGACGCGCATGTTGGTAAAGCTGGCCAGAATCGTATTAAATATATCTTGCTGATCTATGGTGATGTCCTCGATTACGAGAGGGTCTGTGAGAGGACGGCGCAAAATGGCCGAAGGGTTAAGCAGCTCTTCGCGAGTGACCTAAAGATAAGCAAAGGAAGAAATTAAGCTGTGTTTGATAATCAACTTTATGTTATTCTGAGGCGTTGTAAAAGACAGACTATCCTTTTTAAAAATTATGCTGGAACAGATGTATCTGCAGCCAAATTTCTAAGATATTACAAAGGTTGTGCTGCTAACTCGTGTTACGGTCATTATCGCATAGTATCATATACGTTGTTATACAAGAGACAATTCAAATACACCTCATAAATAAAATTCAACTTAATCAATCCACATAATCTATTTTTAAGTTACTGTTTTAACTAAAAAAGGAGAGTAATTTAGTAAGGATGGACACCATTGAATCATCTAATCAATAAATAATACAGGAGAACGTAGCATCATCGCATTCTTTATCCCTCTGCCATAATTTGGAGCTTTTTTTTTGCACAGAACACTCACATGGAATTGTAAAGAGGGTTAGAAAACGTACATATGTAACGCTGATCTAAGAATTAGGAAAAAATCTTGTAGCGGAACCTTGTCCTGAAGCAAATCGTTGATAGCCTTTGAGATACGGTAGTGAATCGCTTGAGTCTCGTCCTCCTCAGGTAGCTTTTCGAGTTCTACAGTCAGTGAGAAATAGTGACAGAGAAAAACGTTAGGCATTTACAAAGGCCCAAAGGCCAGGGACTGGTATCAAAATGACAACTTGTTAAGGGACACACTTTCAACGTGCTTCGCTACAATCTTGCTACACTTTGCAACTTGCCAAAACCTATAGAACGCACTGCGATGAAAATGCAGAAATACTCAATACATCATATCTATATTGGTCTATTATCTCGCACATATTTACTCAATAAACTTAAGGTTGATTTCTAGAATCGCTCAACTCGGATACTAATTTGATCGCGGGTAAACGTGACTAATTAGATGATAACAATATTGTTTTTGAAATTCGTCATTGCACAGACAAGATCAAGACTCATTAAGTTTATGACTTCACCAAGCCAAACGGATCGTTAATACGTATATTCTAAGCAGAAAATAGTATAAATATTAACAAAAAATCCTTCACTAAACAATTTTGCCCTTTTGTGTTGTTGCAGAAAGCATGTATGCCATTACAGACCAACTTTTTCGCTGGGGAATAGGATGTTGATTGCGTTGACTCGGAACTGAGAAAGCAATAAGCACAAATATTCAAAGCAGTTTCAAGTGAGAAAATCTGTAACAAAAGGCCGCTTATTTTGTTTGTGAAAATCTTCCATAATAAGGTTTCGGGGTCAGGGTCTTATCATAGCAGGTTGGGCCTAACTTTCCGTGGGAACATGCAGCGCGCGTTAGATGGTGGATTAGTAACGTTTAAATGTTTCATAGTGGACCGTAACGTGTGAGACAAAACAGGAGTGAAAGCTAAAGATTCTTTACCACTAATTGCTATGGAACAGTGGCTGATTAACATTTTGATTAATGTTTGCAATGTTTTATCCCTTATATAAAAGGTAGCCTGTGTACTCGCATTTTAAGGCAACAACCTGCCCAGTTATAGGAATATGTCAACTGTAATGTGGCACAAACAGCGGTATTTTTTTTAAATTTTTTAGCAAATAATAAAATTTACTAAACTATATACTCTAACCATTAGAGAAAGCAAGCTTTGAATAGATATTTATACTTTTTTCGTTAAAAATGTGATCAATTGCGCCTTGTAGAGTTTTGAATTGAGAGGATGAACATAAGAAGACGGTATCATTGTTTCTATGAAGCAAATTGAAAAAAAAGCAAAGACTCTGTGCTAGGAAAGCGGGACGCATGGAAAGCAAGATAATAGCACAAGTCATCGTCACATTCAGCGTGTGACCGGCCGATACGATTTTTCATGCTTTTCAGTGGAGAGTAGGCTAGAATGCAGTCACATAAACAAAAACCGTGAGCCTCCGAACACGTGAATCAACGTTCGAGGTCGATATGCTTTGACGGTATCTGTACCACGACTTGAATGATAAGATGCTCCAATGCAACCTCGCTTTCATAATCGAATAGAATACAAATGCAATGTTTAGAATTGTTTTTGAAAGCAAATCACAAATAAGCACAGTAATAACGAAAATCTGCAAGCGGGAGCTCATGCAAATAGATCAACGCATATTCGTTCTCACCATCGTCATCAAATTCGAAGTCGTCGAGTTCCTTACCGGGTTCTGCATTCGATGAGCTTACTCCCGAGCATAAAAAAATCACACATGCTACGGCTACCCCTAACCACTTCCTTATACTTGTGGTACGCATCGTTCTACAATCTTACTTAAGCATGTCTGCTATAGGTACCCTGCTATTCAGTGCCTTGTCTACAATACCTTGCACGGTACTTGTTCTACTCAAGTATAGCCATTATACCGTATTCAGACAGCTCAAACTTGTTTTTTCTTAATACGTCAATACAAAATTGGAGTTACTCTATTAACAGTTCTATGAAGTATAGTACTTCCTTCACTAACTTGTCAAATACATTATATGGGTTGAACAGGGAAGGCCGTTGTACTTAGTGGTAACCGATGAATCACGAGCACTCAACTCAACTCTTAAAGCGCGCTACTTTAATATGAAGCCCTTCTGCGATTCTCCAAAGAGCCACCAGTCTTAAACGTACGCCAATGTTCCATTTCCACTACCGGAGCCTTCATATATCTGTAAGTAGTGACCAATGGCGGCCGTACCGGGTTTGGTTGCATTAATATGCTGCGGTAGCGGAGGCGCCATCTACAGGCAGAGTCGGCGCTTGTCACCGGCCGCCTGCTAGCGCTTCAAGATTGCCTGCCACTCATTGCCTAAAGCTTGGAAGATGTCTCCCCCTTTGCCGGAAGTGTTGGACATTGTACGCCAAAGCGCAGTAATCGTGATCTCTGTGGTTTCTACGTTGGTCAAAGATATGGAGAGCCACTACTGGGTCTTCACCAGAGGTAAAGCTGCGTATTGAGTTTGTCGACCGCCGCATATGGCTTCTTAATACCACTCGAACGGCGCTCTGTGACACTATCAGTACACGTAGTCGTTTATGCCAATAGAAATGGCTATCATGCTTGTGGGCTCGTTCTTGCAGACAAATTCGGTGTTAAGATATCGCCTGATCGAACCCTTCTGATTTAACAGCTACCACGTAGATATACGACTACTTTTTTGTATCTAGTATGTTGGATGAGTCAATAAAATTCAGATAAATGCAATTTCAGTATTCGAGACCAATGAATCTCATTCCAAAAAGGATGACTATGCTATGTTTTGTTGTTCTGCAGGTGCGTCTAGCTTAATATGTGTACCATAGTCTGGGTTAAGTTGTTTGAGAAATGCCTTAGCTAAGATCTCCTGCGAAAAACGCTTCAAGGTAGCATCCGGTAATAGTGCTGTATTAGTACGTCCGGAATTATGGCAGTTGTCTTAAGTTACATTGCTTAAAAAGTTGTCCAGTTGATTTGTATCTATAGGAAGTCGAAAGTCGTAAAAGTTCAATAAGCAAAAAAAGTTACAAGCCAAAAAAACTTCTCTCTTTAAGTTTTGGCGACGTCCCAGAACAGAATCAATGCGTCAACCAAAACACATCTAACCATCAAAATGTTTATTAGATCTTCGTTTAATAAAATGGCTTTCGTAACGTTTTAAAAATAGAACCAATATACCAAGCGAAATAATCTATCTAGTCAAGTACATTTAGTTATCTTTATTTAGTAGTTTCTGCAATTACTTATTAAGAAACGGAGATTCGAAAACTTCTAACCTTTAGTGACGTCTTTCTTGAACAGAGACAATCTTAATTTAATGTAACGTGTATAAGTTATTAACAGAAAAAATAAGCTCTGAAGCTTGGGTCACGTACAAAGAACAGATTCAATAGATTCGCCGACTTTATCAATGGCGTTATCTATTAAAAATCAACCAAAAGCCGGCTTGATTCGCGTGCGTATTTTAGAGGTCGACCGACCCTATTTACAAACGTTCCGGGAACAAGATTAATCAAGCAGCAGTAAAGGGCTTTATAACTATATTGTAGAAATATACTAAAGTAAAAATATATCGAGAGAAGCAAATCTAAGTTAGTGAAGCTCCCTGACAAACATATTGGATCAGGCTGATGGTATAATAAATACAGGCTGGTAATGGAATAAAGGCTAATGTATAGGTAACGTAGGCTAAAGGAGGTTGGCTGTAATAGTATCCAATCAGATAAATCAACGGTAAAACAAACGCGGGTCTGCGGACAAATGCCTGCAGATTAGTCCATAATAGCGTACAACTGAAACCGCATATCTCTTTATTGATTTGTTTTCCGGCTCAAATCGATTTTTTAAGGTGATCGGGTCGGGCTGTTTTATGGCAGGTTGCTAGAGTACTATCCGGAATAGAGATCCTCGTGAATGGCGCTGATTGGTTGAGCATTTTTCCTTGGGGACAGTTCATGTAGTTTTTCGATAGAGCGTAGTGCAAATTTGGTGGAACTGGTCCTTTTTTTTTGCAAATTTTGGGTTTTTCAGCAGGATTTTCTCACACACATCTATATGAAAGTTATAGAGGTCGAGGCGGGCTAATTTGTAGCGTGATCTTTGTTAAGAAGATTTTTCCTACCGAGGAAATAAAAGTCGAATGTTCTGGAGGTTCTTGTAGGGGAAGAACTTGTTATTGAAATCTATTAAGAGTTCTTGCCGCTCTGAATGAGATGCAAAGCACATCCCTATCCTCCAATTTTAGTTTTCGGGTTCGAAATAATCGTTATAGCTTATGTCGGGTTGGACATAAATATTAACAAATCAGATAAATCGAGGGCAAAACAAGCGCGGAGCGATACCTACGGATTCGCCTACTGTATTACTGAAACTTTCTGTCTTTGTTCGTACGCCTTGATTCAACCCCCCAGAAAGTATTCCAATTGGACTGATTTTTAGCGGGTCCTAAGAGATTCATTGAGGATAGGGCTGCGCTACTGTGAGAGTTTGTTTTTCATCCCATAAAGTTTATTGTTGATTTGGGCAAAAATTTTTGTTTTTCTGAATGCTTGCTTTTTTAAGCGTCTTTTTTTCAGCAAACTTTCAGACGTATTTATGAGAGAGTTATAAAGGCTGGTTTAGGCTATATTTAGGTGAAATTTTCGAATAAAAAATTTCTAATGACAAAAAAGTAACCCACTGTTTACGTGAATGTCTATCTGGAGAATTATCTTTAACGTCAGTCGAAAGCTTATACTAAGCTAAATTAAATTGCTGTAAAATGGGTATCTCGTGAAAATGGTCCAAAGCTCACTCAAAGATTCGTCTCGCTGACTCGACAGTGGGGTGGTGACGCATCATTAGCTTATTCAAGAGTTATTTTTTGTACGAATTCTTGATAAATGTCATCGAAAGCTGCGGTGGCTGGCATCAGAAGCAATTGTATTGAACAACTTTCTTCAAAAATATAAAAAAACAATATTCTTCAAAAATAAAAAGAAGTTTTCAGGAACTTTTTTTATGCGAAGTGCCACATTTTAATGTCAATTCTTTACAACAATCGATAAATTTCGGCGAAATAAATAAACGTGCAATATATCTTCCTGTAGCTAAAATGAATGTTCCAGTGCGAAAAGAAAAAAAAAACCGAATGCGTTGGCTTTTTTTTCCACTTAGGTGATTCAAATTCTAGAACTGGGACTCTATATAAGAAAAATTATTATTGGGTACCGATCGTAATAATCGGTAATAAAGTATGTAGTAAGTTCCTATAGAAAAAAAATGTTTAAGCCTGAGTGAGATAGCGAGGACAGAATGAGCAGTTACCCTACTCGACTTACCTACTTCCCTTAGAGATTAGCCGATGGTCGACATTTTTCACGTGCGTTCCGAGGACAAAGTCAATCAACTTACATTAAAAAAGCCCGTAATTACACTGTAGAAACACACCAAAACCTACATATCATGAGAGAAGCAAAGCTAAGTATATTAAAACAAGCTGATCAAATCATTAGAGAAGAGCAACGGGTTAGTTCGCTGGAGCAGGGTAGTCGCATAGAGATCACTGCTCATATGTGCCCGCGTATGGTTCTCGGTAGCTTCGATGAACGAGTCCGAAATGAATAAACAAAAAAAATAGGCGAGGCGTCAGGCTTCTGGGTCTCTCCAGTATATACTAACGTTCCAGTGTTGAAGCGCAAAATTATTTATAGACAAGCACACATATATATATATATAAATATTTATCCGAATTTGTCTGTAAATGATTTCGCGGTCTCATTCTGGAGCTTTAGTATTATAAAATTTCCTTAAAAAATTGTATAAAAAATATTTTTAATCTCTGGTTGTACATTAGTGCATTATTGCAGTATACAGATAATTGTCGAAAATTATGTCGCATAACAGGCTGTTTTGTCTTGTTTTATTTATCGAATGATTACTTTAACCAAACACTGCTCCTGTGCTGGCTTATTTTTTACAGAAATGTCACTTATACGAACCGTACGTACCTTATAAACTTCTCGCTCGATATTCAGACGACATTCCATAGAATTTTCTGTCTGGTCTATCTTGCGATCGTATTTGACGCCTCAAAGTAGGGTATTGGAGTTGCTTAGCTAATCAGATATTCTGTTATGAGTTTCAGGGTTATGTGTGAAATTGTGTAGCGACATTGTACAGCATCTTTAAACTCGTTGTTGAGTAGCGCTACGCATATAGGCTTCACTATTATTTTGAACACCTGCCCAGTGTTTTCTTTAAGACAGTGCCATTGAGACATGGCCTTGGCCGCGCTAAGCAAATACGCCAGGTAGATGAATCACTGTTCTATGTGACACCGCTTAATTGAAGCCGTCATAACATTAAGCATGACATCGGCGGTATAGGGCGCTTCAAATTTCATTCGCAGAGAGAAACTAGGCAGTCCAGCGTTCCCATATTGTAAATAAACAGTAAACACAAATTGCACTGAAGCCGTTGTTAAAGGCTTTATTTTAGGTTCCCCTTTGACTTTTGTACTCCTCGGGTTACTTTGATTTTCGTATCACGAAGACTCCTCAATTTTAAGAAAGCATACAATACATTTTTTTACAAGCATTTTAGCATACAATACAAGATTTCGAGATTAATACCAAGGTGTAACTAAGCTTTAAATGTATTTTTTAGATAGG